TGGTTTTGTCCATTAAGGCTTTACTGCAGATTTCCGAGCAGTTATGCCGTAATGACTGTATTGCACGTTTGGCTCTCTAATCTGCAGCTACCAAATCTAGTTAGTACTATAAGTGAGGAATTAGAAAACCACACAGGAGAATATGTATGGGGTTACTTTGCATACATACCAGTAACAGGTGGTGACAGGGACTGAGCTCAGAGAGTGAATTGCTGGACTGGTGAGAAGTCCATGAAGGAGAATGGAGCTCCACTCATTACCCAGAGGGCTCTCAGCTGGAGCAGCATGAATGATCCCTCCATTAGTCAGTCACCTCTTCCCCCCTCTGTCTTTTTACTCTCCAATGCTTTCCCTAATAGTCTGTGAAGAAGAGGAGCCTTTTGCAATGACACTTGTGCTTAAGAAGTCAACGTTAATTAAGATGCTGCTGTCTGTTGTGTGTACTCTTGAGAGTGTTAGAAGGGCATAGTGTCTTCATAAAGATGATGATTGGACTGGCTAGTGGACGAAGAAAAGAGTGGGAAGAACATCTGTACATTCTCAAGGTCCTATTTTAATGTTTTGCCCCCCTCATGATTAAATTATCTGTGAGGTCAGTAAAGGTAATGTGTGTTTGAGTAAGAGAAAGAAACTACAAACATTTGTTCTTGAATTAAAAGAATTATAAAAAGTAGTGTACTCTTTTTTGTTTGTGGTGAGGACAAACAAAATAAAATCAAACTAGGAGCAGGTCAAGGTCATATCCCAGCCGGCCAAGAAATCAAATGAAAAAACCCTGAGCAAGACTCCAGCTCGACTGATCAGCTCGACTGTACTTTATATCCCTGTGTGTGTGTGTGTGTGTGTGTGGGGGGGGGATATTTGCATAGTTCAAAGTCAGCATTTCCGACCTGAAGTTGAATTGTCAAGGTGGTAGAGGACGACTACACTACAGTACAGTCAGGGAGTATTAGGCTAATGAGCCATTTGTTGTTGTGCTGGCTCTGTACTTCAGCACGCTGCATTTCAAATAAAAAACAATGAGTGAGGTTAAAATGCTGATGCTAATGCTATCTGCTTCATCCACATTAGATTACCAGTGCAAGAACTTTTTTATATACAGTGCACCCAGATAGGAGATAATAAATAATTGAGATAAAATAAACTTAAATCAATCATATGTAATATTTAGTTGCAAATAAATTCTACTGCACACATCAGCTGACAATGAATATCATCTCAATCAACCCCATGACTCTGTTGTGTTGTATCGGGTGGAGGAGTGATGGACGGTAGCGTTGCATGTATTTGCCATATATCGTCTGGATAGAAATAGAATATATGTACTGGTCAGTAATACAGTTAGCTCACCACGGTCGGCTCAGACCCAAGTCCCCAGGAAGAGCGCCAGGCTTTAAAGCAAATTTTACATAATGGCCAAACTGTACCATCCTGTGATGCACATGGACCCCAACGTACTTATACGTACTTCTGAGGGAGGACGTCTGTTAGCCTTAACCTTACACTGCTGGAGTTATAGCAAGTGAAATCCCACTCTGTACAAACCCTGTTACACTCTGACAGGCTTGTATTGCAGCTATCTTCACTTCTCCCTGTTCTTTTAGCCTTTATTTTGGTCTTCAGCAGATGAAATGCATGATCAGTTGTATTTAGGTTAGGTGATGGAATGGTCATGAATATTTCACAATTTGGCCTTTTTAAAGGTCCTTGGTTGCTTTATCTATAATTATGGGTTCACTGATCTGCTGCAGAATCCTGAAATAGGGGGAGGTACAAAAACTGCAGTAGATCCCACTAGTTGTAATGTCACAAAGTCCTGCTCAAACCTACACATTTAAAGGCCCAGTGTGTAACATTTTGTCTAACACTGCCAGATGCCACTAAACCCTACTGGTCCTTTTAAAGAATTAAATATTTAAAAGTGTGCACAGTGAAACTTTTCCCCCTTTAGCAGACATATGTGAAGTCTTGCAGCTTCAAACTATGCACAAACATCATTTTACACAGTGAAAGTCAGTAACAATAAGCAAAACGTGTGGGACTGTTTCCCTTGAGCTGTCTGTGGTAATATAGGGTAAAAGTAAAAGAAACTCGCAGAGTTCCAGTAATACACCAGTGTTCTAGACAGGAGGCGTCTGTTGGCTCTAATGGTAGTTCAAACTTTGATATTTCAGTGTTTTACAGCCAAGGCAGGATGTTGTTAAGCAGCTCACCTTGACTCTGCAGTGCTGTGGGCAACTCTGATTAAATTATGAAGTATCATGTTAACCTAAAGTAGCAAAATAGAATAAAGTGTGTGTGTCTGTGTCACACCGATTTCCTGCTTGCAGCATGCATTCACACCAGGAGAGAAAGGTAGAAAAAGAACAAAGTTAATATAGAAACAGAAGGAAATGATTGCTTTTGCTCTTTTAGATAACACAGTTATCCAGTGTCATCAGTATGTTGCTCCTCTCTCACAACTATAATTCAGTGTTTACACAGAGAGGAAATGTTTTAAGATGAGTTGCCCTTTTGTGTTGACTTCTGAGAAAGCTCTGAAGCTAAGTACCATGATGAACAGTGTGAAAATTGCATCTTGAAGTCCAGATGGGCTGTAATTTTAGCACCTCATTTGAGATGTTATCAAGGCCTCATGCTTCATTTGCTTTGGAGATTGGATTCTTTCAGCCAGTTCAGTAATTAGATATTTTAGTGGCTTGAGGGAGTTCTTTGAACTAATCCAAATGCTCACAATCATGTTTTGATTGTTATCTTGTTTTGTTGATTTAGAATCAACCCGAGGTTAATAAAGTAATACTTCTAAATAACATTGTGTCCCTTTTGAAGTGCTGCACAGTTGAATTTAACTGTGAGCAATGACTTTACTGAAAAACAAGTACCGTCAGGTTTTGTGAATTTTGATATCGACTTGGTACCGAAGTATCGGTTCTCGTGACATCCCTCTTAGATAATGTGGAATAAGATCATTTCACTAACATTAAAGTTACTTTACTTAAAGGGCCAGTTTGTAGAATTTAGTGGGATCTAGTGAAGTTGTAGATTGCAACCAACTGAATATTGCTCGCAAAAACCTGAAAGAATGAACCAGTGTTTGGTTTGTCCATTCTGGGCTACTGTAGAAACATCTACCAGCTCTAAAAATGTCTCATTCTAAAGTAATGAAAACAAAACGTTTCTTATTTTCAGGTGATTATAAACTAATGAAAACATACTTAAGAATATTATATTCCATTTCTGCCAATAGGTTCTCCTAAATGTCACACACTTTTAAGGACACTCAAAAGAGGGGAACTGTATGTTAGAAAAAAGGACAGCTTGTTTTAGTTGTACAATGTAATTTCAACTTTCAGTTCAGAAGCAGGTTGCCTTCCTTTGTGATTGTATTTAATAGCTTTTTCTCTTGTGCCCCAACTGTCCCAATTTTTGACTGTGTTGGGCTGCACAAGTAGTGACAGTATTATCTGTGTGGGAGATCCACCTTGTGTAATGCTTACTCTGTTACAATACACATTTAAAGGCATATGTTTTCTAAGTAAGGTCAAATTTCAGCCTCATTCATGTTTTTATATAAACAGAAGAGCTTACTGCTTCATATGGATATATTGGAGTATACATGTGGTTTTTGAGTAAAGTAAAAGTGCAGTAAAAAATAATTAATAAAATGTAATAGATTTTTTTATGAACAAACGTCTTCACGTCAAGTCATATCACTGGGGTCAGTGTTCTGTTAGTACTCAAGAAACAGGTAACATATTAGGTCAGACAATCATGTAAAGTAATGTATGCTGACTGTATGGCTCTGCCCATAGAGCGTGCTGTACTTGTGCAGTCAGTGACCTTTAACCTGTGTTAGAATGACTCTGGAGTGGAACAGACACAGCTACAGTCTGGTGGGTTGCCTTAATGTGCTATATATGTTCAGCTCCGTGTGTCTGTCTGTGTGTTTTGCCTCAACAAAACCAACACATTTGCAGGTCAAAGTGCAATCGGCCGACGTTTACCTGCATCTCTTCCTCTTATTACAGCCCACTCTGGCGTGTGTGTCCATCTGTAGCTCGTTTCCCAAGCTTCACAGCCTGTGATTGATGGAATGAGCCAAGGAGCAGAGACGGACAGAAGGAGGCGGATGTATTTATCGAAGCAAATAAAAAATGGCTAGAGCGACGGAGACAGAGGAAGAGAGAAAGAGGGAGAGAGAGAGATGAGCTGTCAGGGGTTCTTGAATGGCACAGCAATTTCCACCTGCAAAAACAAGCCCTGTGAATCCCTGCTGCACTGGCTCAGACTGAGTGAAAAGATTCTCTCTCTGATGGTATCTGACATGCTGTTATTGCCTTTCACTTGATGCACTTTGAGCGCACTAATGGATGTGCACCAGCAACCACATATGAACACACGCAAGTACACACGCACACATAGATGCACACACTTCTTCGTAAGTCACATTTTTGTGTTTCTCAAGTGGAAGCAAAATCAAAGCTACTTTTCTGTCATTTAGGTCATTCAGTGAGGTGAAAACTGGGAAAAGGGGCCAACAAGAGGTAGAGTTGCAGATATGCATGCAAATTAAAACCCACACACACCATTGTTTCTGAACTCCAAGTGCTCTCACCTGTTCTTAAAGTGGTAACAAAACTCCTTCAAAGGCAGAAGCATTGTGAGGAACTTGTTAAAGCGGATGTCAACAGAAAGTCAAAAATAAAATAAGTGCCTCTCTGGTGTCAACAATGTTTCCCTCTCCTGCATCCATTTTCTCAAAGAAGGCAAAGCAGCAGAGATAGCTGGATTATATATTACACCTTTTGGAAAAACTTGGAGATAACACAACACCCACTAATGGCTTTACAAATGAAGGAAAGACAAACATTTATGCGCAGGCTGCAATAAAAAGTGGATGAGTAGCTAAAATGGACAAACAATAGGTGAAGAGATGTCACAGTGGGCTGGAATAGATTGGGGGGGGGGCTAGACGACGGAGGAACGAGGTGATTGCGAAATGTGAAAGGAGCAAGGGATGGAATAGTCTCTTCTTTACCAGTTCTGATGGGATTGGACTTTGTTCTTATCTGGCACGAAAGCTGAGTGAATATGTTACCCGGTCCACCGGTTTATAAGTCATCCCCTTAAACCTCACCAGGGAGGAAAGAGGGGGGAGGAAGAAAAGGGATGACTGAGAAAGAAGGCAAGAAAGAAGCAACAGGAGAACAAAGAACCAAAAGACGCAAAGACTTAAAGTGGAACTCTGTGGATTTCTAACATTACTCCAACATATTCATCAGATTAATAGTGGTGCCGTCCAGCAGCTGCAGGGATGTGGATGGATACCAAACCAGAGGCTGAGGAGGCCAGCAGGAGCCGTGCCAGCCTCAGTCGGCGTGTGTTGAACAGTCTGCTGTTGTGTACCGGGGACATGGAGCACTTGGATAAGTACATGCAGGGTAGGAAAACTCAAAACACACTGCTATGTTCATAAAACAATTTCTTCCTTCTAATCTTGAACCCAAGTATAAAATGTAATGTGCTGTATGACCGTTATCAAATGTGCTTGGAAAATGCTCAATTTGTCAAGTCAAGTTTTCACGTAATGTGATTAATTAATTGTCAACAGGAGCAAGCTTCCAAACATTTGGAATGTGTTTAACTGCCATAATCATAAATAAATGAGTCTGAAATGCTTACACTGCCATTAAAATATGCAGATGTAATCATCACACAACTCCCACGGAGAATGCTGCTGCACTCCTCCTCCAACATAAAACATAACATCATTAAACTCCAATCTTGATTCTTTTATAAAAACCCTGTATTTGCATCAGGAAACCCAACTGAGAAACAAGTTTTGTGCTGCAGTTAGCCTCTTTAGTTCCACTTTTACTGCGTTTGAGAAAAATTATCTGGATATGTTTTTTTCCCCCAGAAGATTTTTTGGGAAAAATGCTGCCAAGAAAAATGTGTAAAAAATGTTTTCTTTCTGTGTCCTCAGACAAGTTGTTTGTGCTGCAGCTGGCGGTGTGGGGCTTAAGAGGGGTGGCCAGGGTCATTCTAGCAAACAACCCGCTGAGTGGTGCTCTCGTCTTGGCTGCACTGTACTGGGCCTCTCCCTGGCAGGGCCTGCTGGGAACTCTGGGTGTACTGGCCTCTACGCTAACAGCTATCATCATAGGGCAAGACAGGTGGAATGAAGTGACTATATACAAAAACACACACTCATAATATAGAAGCTCAAGAAAGTACACATTTGTATGTACACGTTTAATGATCTGGATATTTCAAAACCACACAACAGAAAAATGTCCCCTTAATTCATAATTGAACCCTCAATAAAATCCTGTCTGTTGCTGGGAAGCAGACCCTGTAACACAAGTCTATAATTTTCTCAACCTTACAGCTAAAGTAGATTGAAGGTTCTACTTTAAATTCATGATAATAATGGCTCCATGACTGATATCCCTGCATTCACCCACTGCCTAGCAATTCTTATTTTAGTCCCTGTCCCAATATTTATACCAAGAACAGCATAATATGCTAATATACAACCTTGTTTTGAGTTTTAAAAAGAATTCCATCTGAACTGGGACCTCCTAACGTTTTTTAGTCTGACATGTCAAATACATTTAGTGTCACCGTGGGGCCTCTGCTCATTAAAACTGAACTCTTTGTTTCAGCAGGACAAATAAGAAGTTGCGATAATGTGTGCTTTGATCATTTTTATGATCTTACTGTACACCAATGTATTACAGAAATGTTGTCCTCTTTTTTTCTCTTCAAAATAGAGGAATAGAAAATACAAGCTGTAATTGTGTTGTATTAATCTTCCTTGTGTGTGTGTGTGTGTGTGTGTGTGTGTGTGTGTGTGTGTGTGTGTGTGTGTGTGTGTGTGTGTGTGTGTGTGTGTGTGTGTGTGTGTGCGCGCGTGTGTGCATGTGTGTGTGTGTGTGTGCGTGCGCGTGTGTGCATGTGTGCGTGTGTGTAGTGCTGAGGTGTCGGCGGGTCTCCATGGTTTTAATGGCATGTTGGTGTCTCTGCTGATGGGAGTCTTCAGCTCTGCTGGAGACTGGTACTGGTGGCTGCTACTGCCTGTGTGCTTGGGGTCAGCTACATGGTAAGACACACGTGCACACACACGCACATGCCTCTTGTACTGTAGCTCAGCATTCATGGCAGGTGCCCAACACTTCCTCCAAACTAAAAACAAAGTATTTTATCTTACATTGCTTCCTAAAATCTGCTCGGGTCTGTCTTTAGGACAATGCTGTTTGATTCATACTACAGTTCTCTGCCACCACTAGGGGGAAACTATGTGGTTCAGGTTACGGAATATATTGTGGTCAAGGATGTCATCATTATAGAAACGACTAATTAATTTTTAATTTTATATTTTTATTTTGTGAGTTTTGCAGATTTCACAGTAGTTGTGAGTCACTTTATGAAACCGTAGAATCACCCCTGTTTCCAAGGGAACCATGTTGCTAATGTCAATCAACCTGCAAATAGTGAGAATTTTTACACACATTTCCACACTGAAAGCTAAATATAATGGCCACCCTCTCACTACAGCATCCAATGGCATATATCAGGAGTGCCTCCACTTCACTCACAATGTATAGAATGTGAGTGATGTGAAGGATGGGCTCTGCATTTCGTGTGAATGATTGCTACACGTAAGCTTGTATGTAACGAGATCCATTTTCTTAAAAAATAATGAAAACACCTCCACTCTCTCACCCCCATCTCCAGTGTCTTTCTGTTCAGTGGGCTCTCCTCAGTGTTGGACCGCTGGGACTTGCCTGTTGCTGTGTTTCCCTTCAACATCATCATTGTTCTCTACCTTCTTTGTACTGGCCCAGACAACCCGTATTTCCCGCACCACCCAGCTACACCGGCGGGGGCGCTGGAACCTAATAGCACCGAGCTCATTGCAGTAGAGGTAAGGCAATCCAACACTGAACTAAATGTTTGTGCATTGGTTGAATTCAATCATACCGACGCTGGCAGGTACTATTTTGGTTAAGCTACTATATAAATATTCACATGTACATGCTAATATGTTGCATACCATGTGATGGGAATTCGTCAGTGACGGATTTAACATCTTTAAAATAATATCTTTACTGGAGGACATGATTTGGTGGTTAATGGTTGTTGTAACAAGTAATGCTTACAATAAGTGTCTCCATTATCTATTAATCGCTTTCATTTTGTGGCCCTTTTCTCAGCTCCTATGGAAAAGGGACACTTTTAGGCTCAATTTGCATTTTTTCGTCATCAGCCATTCATCACAAGGGTATCTGTCAGAGTAACATTTGCAGTGATATTTGCACAGAGACGGCCCGTCAAGTCACATGATCACAAAAGCCGGTGCAGATCATTAGTAGTCTCAAGGGGCGCTATTAGAATTGACAGAATATATGATGGAAATTTTAAAGAGACAGAAAGCAAGCTGAACGAAGGCCAGAGTCATCCTCTGTGTGTCTGCCATGTTGAAGCCCGGTCTCCAGAGTGGAGTAACTGATAGGAGCACAATATGTATAAGATCAGCCAGCTATGACTCACCAGTTACTTAGCAACAGTCACTGATGGAGCTCCTGTTTGGAAATTATAATCAGCCCAAACTGTTTTAATTAACAATTCTTGGTGATTGAAAGTCTTTGTGGCTGATGTAAGCTGTTGCATTCAAGATAAAGTGTTAATGTTATTTTGTTCAGTTACTGTGGACTGAGATTGTGTAATATAAGTACAGATTTAAATACGAGTTTCGAGGAGGCTTCCAAGACGGATACGTTTAGGGTGATTTTATAGCTGCCGCTTCCTTTGTATTGCCAGGGAGTTGAAAACAAACAACAACAATAAAACCTTGAGGCCTAAATTTATGTTCTACTGAAAGTCCACTTAGAATGCAAGATGTTGCACAGTACACCTTGTAAAGAAAATGGAGAGTTCGCTTCGACCACTGAATTTAAATGAAATGCAGCTGCCTTGAGCTGCTTCTTACAAAATTTGGCAAAAGAATCCAGAGCAGCTGCTGCAGTTGGTTTTTGATCTCCGTGAGGCAGCTGGTATTTCGATGCTTGAAGAGTGATGCTTTTGTTTGGAACCGGGCAGAACAGATTATGGAATCCGAATCACAAGACGAGCTCTACCTTCTTCCGAATGTAATGAATGTACATAAATATTACTTGTTAGCATTTGTGCATATGTATTGACTTACAGCTTGACTTTTATATTTTAGTAGAATACCATATATATATTTTATGTCCAATACACAATGAGATCATTTAAAGCTGCACCAATCCATATTTGTCATACTAGAGTAACAATGGCTCAAATATGTTGTGGAAGAAGTCATTCTGATAAACCCGACAGAATTATCATCCAACCCTGCATTTCCCTTCAGCTCTACAGAGTGATGCAGCCTCATTCAGCTAATTTGTTTCCGTTTTTGGCCCACAACTTTACTGTTTCATCCCCTCGGCTAAGCCCCCACTGTACATTAGCGGCAAGGCACCAAACAACTAACAGACAAAGTTATGGGCTTGCTGGTGCATGAGCTAAAAAGCTAAAGAGGCAGATATATCCCAGGAGTTGGTAAAGACTAAACCTGTTATAAGGCAAGGGAATATTCCACTTATATTTGTCTTGTCATTAAATAAATGCTGATATTGCACCATTTCTGCTGAATGTGTAAATGGGCACTTTTTTGCTAAAACAGTTGGCTCATTTCCTCTCATTTTCCTCATGGACAAGGGGAGGATGTTAACCAGAGCATCTCCATGATTTTAAGTACATTTTGGAGAGATGAAATAGGAAACTGTAAACAGTAGCAAGATTCAAATTAAGTGTTTAAGAGAAATGGAATGACAAAAATAAATACAGCATTTTGGAAAATTTAAGGAAGATGCATTCCACCCGGGGACCTTTTGTATATTTATTCACCAGATTATCCCAAACAAAGGTAACTTTCCACTTTCCTTACATGGTGGAAAAACACCAGTATGACCTTGCTTCATTCTTTCTTCTATGAAAAACCCTCTTGAAACACAATACTGAAGATGGAGACAGTACCTAACTAGAGCTGGAAGATAGTATGAAACTGACAGTGAATATCGACTTAAGTTGTTGGATTTATTCACCACATGGCGTATATTTCTGCACACGATGATCTGCAAACTGACTGTGGAAACTAGATTAGCTACGCTGCTTAAGCCCTCTCAGCGTTGTTAGGTGTCCTGAATATAGAGTCAAGATTTACACACGATTCTATTAACAAGCAGCCTTTGGCACATTATCTCCCTCACACTAAATCATTGCTTTTTACAAGTTTCAGGCCCCTGACTCAGATTTTTCTCTCTCGTTATATTTCAGACTTTCTCCCTCGTTTTCTTTCCCATCCTTATCCTTTCTTTTTAATATTCAACTCACATCTTTTTCTTCCTGTTTCCCTTCATCTGCCCGTCTCTCGTCTTAGAAAAGCTGTCTCTCTTTATTTCATAAATTCCCTTTGGTTTGTTACTTAGGAGATCTGAAACCTCTAAATCCTCCTTTTCATCTCGCTGCTTCCCTTCTCCCTATCTCTATCCATTTTTCTTCCCTGCTATGCAAATCTCCTTCCTCCTTGTCCCACTTTCTGCATCTGTCTTCATCACTTTTTTCAATCATCTCTGTCTTCTTCATCCTCCTTTGGGCTCCTTACTCATAATTCAACCATAAACAACTAGTATATATAACCACATTTTCAAGGACAGCAATTATTTTTCCTGTTACAGTCCTTGATGTGAAACAATCTCATTACCTCTTTCACCTCTCCTCTGTCTTTTCTTTGTTTTCTTCTATTTTTTTCTTTTTTTGTTCTTTTGCTCTACTCCTTCCATTCCTTCCACCCATCTCCATTTCATCCTTCCTCTGGTTCTCTCTAGAGATGGCGATGACGTCGGTCCTATTTATATTTAATGTCTTCAGCTTTCACTCTGCTGTGGATGGCGCTCTGGCTGCACCACCACGGCAGCATATTTAATCTCTCTGCTCGCAAACACACAAATACAACTGTGTACATACATAGAAGCACATGCGCACAAAGAGTTACACGGCCGCGATATAATTAAAGACCATTTATGACTTGTAAATATCAGCGACAGGCAGGTGCACCCATCACGTCGCCATGGAAACTCTTCACTTCTCACTGACTGTTGGGAAAGCAGCATGTGAGTGAGAGTGAGTGTGTGTGTGTATTTAACTGAAGAAAATGGCTGATTGTGACTGGGAAGAAAGAATGAATAGAGTCCACACTTTTTGTCATTATGTTTTTGAGTGTGTTTCTGTTTCATACTTGAACATAAATCTTTTTCATGGTAATTTGCAATATGCTGCATAGTGTACAAATCTGCTATAACTTCTCCCTTTCATCCAGGTGATGCATGGCATCCTGCTTGGTGTGGGTCAGATCTTTGCCTGTGGAGCCCTGGGGCCCTCCCTTCTCATCCTGGGAGCTGTTCTGCTCTACTCCCCCCTGCTGGCCATCCATGCTCTGCTGGGATCGGCAGTTGGAACATTGGCTGGTGAGACTCCATCTGTGTTGTCTGTGTGTCCCTGTTAGAGGAGTGAGAGAGTTAAAAGTGGGGGCTATTATTGTGGTTTTTTTTGTAGGTCATACTGTACATGGTAAAGTAGAAAAGCATCAATGTTGTGTTCCACAGACACAGATTGTAACTCTGACTTCACAAACAGGTTATAGTTCTTGTTTATTTGGTTAAACTAATCACTAATAAGTTTCAAATGAACCTTTCAGTGCCAGTAGCTCACTGTATGGGACTCCGTCTTGGGTATTATTACTTGCAGGAAAACTCCCACATTTTACATCTATATGTCAGTTTACTAGCCATGGGGAGTACTACTCAGTCTGTGAACACAGTTGTATAATACTGTCCTTTGTGGCTCTGGAGGAGTTTTCTTAAGCCTGAGAAAATAACTTCTAATGATATCATCAGGGTGATCACAGCTTGGGCTCTGAGACAACATTTGTAACAAAAGGCCTGTAATACAAACTGAGTGTGGAGTGTGTTCACAATCCAGGAAGGATCGAACAAGTAGATGGTAATGGTTGTGTTATGTGGAGATCCAGCACCTTTAGAGCTTGACCCATATTAAGGAGTTTAAGTCAGACTATTTTTGCAGCTGCTGTTTTGATTTTGACCATTCTGTCTTTTTGGGGCATTTCTGTGCCTTTTATTATAGACAGCAGAGATATAACAAAAAACAGGGAAGAGGGAAATGCAACAAGGCTCTCCAGCTTGAGTCAACCCCTAAAGCCATTGCAGCGCCCCCATTCTGTCTTTGAATCTGTCTCTTGTGAGATCTCCAACTTGGAAATCCATCCATTATCTACAGCCACTTACCCTGTGCAGGGCGGTAGAACATGTAAACTCCAAACATTACTGTAACTTAAATGTGCAATAGTAAATTGCTGTAGTACCTTCAAAATATATGTTTCCTCTTCTTCCTACGGTCCTTCACTGTGCAGAGTTTGACACTAGAAGGATGTTTTCACATTAATCTGCTGAAAGTGGAAAGTTTCTCTGTGCTCATTGAAAATCTCACTTTAAGGGGCAGTGCTACAAGCATGATTCGTGACATCACTAATATCCTGGAGGTCCAACCTGGTCCAGTATGCAACTTGTACAGTGTGATGTAGACACTTGAAGCCACCAGTGCACATCCACTGAGAATGGACTTTACGTGGAGTAGATGCCTTTTTAAGGATTTTAATGTGGAAATTATACTTGCGATACCATACTAAGCGAGATCATACTTGCTTTATGTGGTTACTGACACCATGCTCTGCAGTCATAGTTGCACAAGTCACCAACTGTCCTTATAGCGTAATGCAGCATCATTAATCTTTGTCTTAGGCAGCAGTATAAACCTTCCATTTATTAAACCATCAGCCAGGACCTCAAATAGATGGCAGCCTTAGCTCCCTGCATGGCATAAATGTTGAAATACAGTCGGGTAGGTTTTATGAATCCCTCTGGCAATAAGACAATGTCAGCAGCGCATATGAATATAAAACTGTGAGATAGGCAGAAGCAGCCTGTGGGCAGCTGCTCCAAAAGACACAGAGCAATTAGCCGGGGCATTGATAACGACTGGCTTATATACAAACACACAGGCCTGTGGCTGTGTGCGCCTTTTCCATCTGTGACTCTTTTCAGGGAGAGCGAGAACGAGAAGTGCTAGAAGTTTAAAAGACTTCAGCCCCCTGCTTCCGTCTGCTGCTACAAGTACAATACAGTGTCCTAAAATACTTTGTGTGTGTGTGTGTGTGTGTGTGTGTGTGTGTGTGTGTGTGTGTGTGTGTGTGTGTGTGTGTGTGTGTTTGTGTTTGTAGCTATGAGTCATACTGTAAAAAAAAAAAAACAGTGGGAGTGAGCTTGTGGATACAGACACTGCACAAACCAGTGGACATTTGCTAACAGTGGCAGGTACATACACACACACTGCTGCAATAAAAACAACAGTGTGACAAGAAAGTAATCAAAGAGATGTGATTGTAATGAGATTGTGTAGGCGACAAAACAGTGGGGAAACGGCCTGCTGGAGCATGGCAGTTCAATGCAAAAGAGCAGCACAGCAATCAGGAACTCTATTCTCTCATTTGTAAATTCTTTCTTCCTTCCTTCCCTTTACATTGTACAATCCATGTTTTCTCCAGTGAGTTTGTTTATATAACTCAGTATTTTAGCCAAAATTAAGCCATTTATAGCATTCATAAATGTTGAAAAAGTCAGCCATGCTTTTATTTCTTTCACTGGATGCTTTAATTCAGAGTTCCACCAGATCTTCTATCTTCCCCAAATCTGAAATGTGGGCCTTTTAAACTAATCCCATGGGACAAGGGTATATTGCATTACGTCTCGCTGCTCTTTTGTGGCTTCCTTCCAGTTTAAGCATTAATTTTGTTATTTTGAATGTCTGAAGGATGAGGCTGGTAATATTCTATACATTTCTTATTGGCAACAAAAAAAAGTATTCTCTGTGTATCCAAAGCCTGAAATATTTTATACCTCTGCACCTTATTCTCCAAAATCTGCTAAAAACACATCAACGGGCCACACTGCTGTACTAGGTGAAATGTTCCCTCATTACAATGCACATGGGCACTGTAGTTTCAACTGTGTGCTAATCCACATCTGAAAATAGTACCCAACAAATGCGCTGTAATCCTGTTTTAGTAATGTTTGCTTAAAACTACAGTACCCAGCTGTTTCAGGAAATTGTTTAACCTTTTTAATTTATAAAACTATATAATTGTGTGCCCTGCAGTTTAGATACTGTATGTCAGTCCAGGTGTCATATGGGGTCATTCTAAAAAAGGCTTCCTTGTCTTTGCATCGCATGTTAATGAATTCAATATCTCCTTTTGAATTTAAAATTCTGATACGTAGAATTTCTATTGGTATTATTTGTTTTTACCTTGTAGTTGCTTATTATATTCTTATTCGCATTAGTGTTATTCTCTTTGTTGTTAGGCACTTTGAAACTTTGTTTGGAACGATGTGATGAAAAGGTCTGTTATAATGACTTGTGTTGCTGTTATTATAAGCACAATCTGGACGTTTGGTGTTGTTAGATGCATATTATACCATGGAACTTGGTGTACCGGCTGCCCTGAATAAATGTAAATTCACTCACACACACCCACGCACAGAAACAAATGATGCTGCGGCACACAGTGAGATAGTTAAGACTGTGAATAAGTGCTACAAGGTCAGATTCAAAACTTAATCCTGCCTGACAGAGACCTGGAGGGAAAAAGAAAGATCAGTGTCAGGAGACAAAGAGTGTCAGATGAAGATGGAAGAGGAGAGAAAAGGAAAAAGAAGAGGGGGCATAAATTGAGTGAAAGACAAAAAGTGCCAGAGAGAGAAGGAACAAAAGGGGAAGATGCTAATAAATGTTACAGAGTAGAAAAGAGGACTCAAGAGGTTCTGACAATATGTGTGTGGTTGTGTGTATTGAACTGACACCATCCTCTCCAACACGGGCACACGTTGTGCCCCTGGCTCTGTCTTTCTTCTTCTGTCTTACGTCCCCTCCATGAACAGCCGTTTCTTCTTTCTAGTTCTTTCTTTATCTCTTTTAATCCTTTCTTCTTATCAGCTTCCAAAATTACTCCTCATTCTTTTCACTTTTCACACCACTCTCTCCACTGCTGCTCTGCATTCATTATCCTTCAGTGCCTACAAAATGCTGAGTGTACAGATAGTCTGGTTCGATTTCAGGAAAGAAAAGGTGTGTGTGTGTGTGTGTGTGTGTGTGTGTGTGTGTGTGTGTGTGTGTGTGTGTGTGTGTTTGATGTCATTATCAACTTTTTTCCAAAGGCAAGCGGTCATTAGCTAGCTTATTTTGTATTTTAGGAGTGGAACATTAATGTGCTAGGATATCAGAGTTTAGAGCAATGTTAGCAGCCATGTCCTGGGGGGGTTTACATGCCGGAAACACCAGCCCATCTTGCGTTAAATAATTTAGTTTTACTTTTGCCACATTCATAGGTTATCCAGCAAATATATTCTCTTGTAAAAGTGAATCATACTGACATTATATCTAGCCATTGTGTTGCTTGTCCAACTATGTTTTTCTATAGTAAGCTTTCAAACCATCCCTGGGTTATATTATAATAGTGACATTTTATTCCATTGTTATTTATAATACTGTACTATAATACTACGGCTAACTACCTTTTTTACCGTTTCTTTGTCTTCTAATGTTTGTAAGACCCTTTTACAGCCTTCTTGGTTTAAATCAAATCAGCTGGAAACACTAAAAACTCTTCTGAAGACCAGGATTTCCAGCATTAGCTGACGCAAACCGTCATCTTTGTCACCAGTCGTCATCATCATTATTTTCCTTTTAACCACATCATCAGCACATTTAATGTTGTCACCATCATCATTATCCTCCTTGCAATTGTCCTCGTCTTTAGCCCTGTCCCTACCTTTACTGTCATCATCTTCATTAGTTTACTGTTTCCATTATCATTACCATTCTCCATTTCTCTCCATTATTTTCAGTCACTGTCGTGATTGTTTTTTCCATTCGCCACTATCAGAATAGCCTCCAATTTAAGTATTACCTCTGTCATCTCATCACGTCCACCTTTGGTACTGTTGTAATTACATCATCTTTTTTTCTTTTTAAGGAACGCTGAGGTGAGAGACCAAAGGCAGGCTGACAGCCGATGTTTAGACATGTGTGGATCCTGACGTCAGGCAGGGGAAATCACTTCGGCTCTCTATGAGTAGTCAGCCCCTTAATCATCAACTTATACTTTGTCTGTGAGAAGGAGTGGGAATGACAGATACAGTAGCATGGGTCAGACTAAGAGAGGAAAGAGACATGAAGTCCGTCTGGGACAGGCAGAGTCTGAGGCCATATCTAGAGCTGTCACTCAAATCGTTGTGGTGTAAACTATTCCCACAAGGGGTTTCCAGAGGAGGAGATCAGGGGCTGTATGTAGGCCAGAGCCTCAACCTCCTGCTGCATTCATGTTATAGGAGAATAATTGTCGAAACGCTTCAAAGTGAGATCAAATACAGGAGGAAAGATGATATGAGGCAGTTGGAGAAGTCATCTGGGGTTCACTGCTAAACTCAGAGGTCTTTTAGTAGCTTTGTACTTATGATGTGAAAACACACATAAATATATATATTTTCAAGTAAGAATCTCACATGTGCTATCTCCGGTGTGACAGGCTGTAGATGCAGCATCAGACAGGCGAGGGGAAGAAGAAGCAGAGGCTCTCAGTCTTAGAAAGAAAGTATTTTTAGGAGAGAGATTATGACCTGTACTTCACCGAAATGTTGTAATACAACATAACACTATAACACTTAAGCCATGGCCATCTGTGTGTTACATAACAGGCCTTAAGATGGACGGGGGGTATATTACATTTCACCACTGAAGATAAGCGACAGAGGGAAATTCCGATCATCCTCCATCCTGTTTTACTGAAAAACACCAGTCCAGATGTGTTCATTAACAACAGCAATACCTAACTGTACTTTGTGTTAAATGCTAATTAGTGAGTGTCAGCATGCCTGCTGAACCTCAGCATGTTAGCAGTGTCATTGCAAGAATGTTAGCGTGCAGACATTAGCATTTAGCTCAAAGCACAGCTGTGCCTTAGTACAGCATCACAGAGCCACTAGCATGGCTGAAAATAATGATAATGTTAACACACTCCACTGTCCAATACAAAAGGGTTAAATAGAGGTGTTCTATAGCAAGAATTTAACTCCTAAAAAGAGAAAATGAATTCATCGATTTAACGGTAATCCTAGGAGGATAAAGCACAAACATGAAATTCTTAATAGATATAATTAGAAACATTCACAAAGAAGGAGGATTGTAGAAATAGGCCTTTACAGCATCTGAAATGAGGCTGGTACTTTAAGAAAGGTTGGTGGAAATGGAGACACACAAAGTATTTTTTCTCTGCATGGATAGAAACAAGCTGTTCCCTCTACAGCTCACTCCGCTGATATCTGGACAGTGTTAACAAATGAGCCCACATAAAGAGCAATCCATTTAGCTGCATCCACAGACAGTTTTTCCCTCAAAGGCATCAAAGGACAGAATAATGGATTCACCAGCTGAATGAAGAGCAAAGGCCCAAATGCAAAGTTAGCCATTAACCACTAACACTTGAAAACAAGCCATTATGTACAGTTCATTTCAGTTGTTTAGTCCAACCTATTGCTCTATCCTCCATTTAGTCTGCACATAGTCACTGTGGTATGATGCAGGCAGCAACTGGAAAAGAGGAGAGGAGATATTGGGTTTGATATGATAAAAGCTCTCTGACTCATTCTATTAGCATAGACAGCATCACACTGGGAGTGACTCACACACACACACACACACAATAGTAGAAAAACAGTAAAAAATTTAGGATCCTCTGGGGCCCCCCTCCCACATTGCCATTAGTCTTTAATGACCCTCTTATTGGGGAAGGGAACTAGGGGAGCAGAAAGAGAGAGAGAGAGAGAGGCTGTGATGAAGGAGGCAAGGAAGGGAATGAAGGAACAAAGGGCAAACGGTGACAGTGAAGAGGAAGATGGAGAGGAGGATAATGAAGTGTGGAATGAGGAAGAGACAAGATGAGTGCAGAGAGAGCCGGAGCATTTAAAAACAAAGAGGGTTGATGTGAAAAAGGTACGACAAACAGAGGGTGGAAGGAGGGGAGGGGATGTCAGAGAGAGTAGCCCAGCAGACACAGAGTGAGGAGGCAGCACTGGGGTGTGGTCAGTCTGCTTCAGGACCAGACTTGCTAAACTGCAGCCCACAATGCCTGGTAATGAGGAAATCAATCAAAGCGCGCCCCGTGGGTCATTTATATACAGAGGAGCTTCCAAAATTTACTGTTACTGCAGATGAATTCTTTGGAAAATCCTGCAGTATTAATACAGGGGAAGGTGCAGGGTGCAGCAGCTGCAGTGGTGAATGATAACATTTATACTGTTGTCATTTTAGTCATCTTTTGTTTAGCATACATTTCCAGCACGGCTACGATGAATTTTAGAGGTTTGAAACGGCGTCTTCTAACCAAGATGCGACAATTAAATATGTTGTGATATGACAATATTGAGCAAAGGATAATTCCTTCACCCAGGAACACATACAGCTTAGTGCACGTGTGTGTAAATAATATATAGCTGCTAAAGCAAATAGTGGTGGGCACTCTCCTGCACAGTCAGACGGTGCTCAGTAATTTTTTATGATATTGCTATTACTCAGAAAGGTAAAAATACACAATTTCTGCCTTCGGGTTGATGCTCCCACAGAGATAACCATTGTATATAGCGATAAAACAGTCGGTAAGCAGTTTTAAGGCTCATGCCTTTCCTAAGCTGAGCAGTGTCAGCTGCTCTGGGTGGGGCTACAGGATGACCTTTTCTTACACACACAGATGCAGTGTTGGTTGGTGTGCAGCAAAAAGCAGAAATGAAAGTGCGATTTATTGACAACGTTGATTCCAACTGCACGTTTAGCTTGGTTTATTAGGTAACGCTACACCAACATCCGTGCAATACATCCCGTCTTTGTGAATTATAATGTGCTTATTTGTGTCAGAGAGGAGTTTGTTCAGCTGCTTTCTATTTCTAAAGCTGGAGTGAATGTTGTGTTGGACTCCATGGATGTACATGAGGGGGACCAAATACATTGCTATCTCATTTTGTGTTTACTCACACAATAAACAAAACACGCACATTTAATCCGAAACAAATGAGAGAGAATGTAGCAAGAGTAAGATACAACTCTGTAACATACAAAAAGCTTCAAGTTCTGAGAAACAGCTGAGCTACCGACATCCTTGGACTGCTTCTTTGACTTCTCTTAAAGTGGAGGTGGAGGTTTGTTCACTCGAAGGATTTTGACTCTTAACTTGACTCCTCCAATGTCATCTCTGCTGATGGAACTTAGCTGACTTTAGTATATTGTATAAGTATACTGTAGTTGGTTATTTTTAGTTATGTTGTAGTTGGTGATATTTGCAATTGTACTCTTGCAACAGTCTACTCGGTCAAGTTTCCATCCAAATTTAGCACAAACTTGTCAAGTGAATTTCAAAAAAGATCGGCAAAAGAAAATGTGAATGAATGTTTGTGTCCATCCATTACTGTTATGCAAATATGAGGAGTCGGTTGCATCAAGGTAAAGAGTTGGTACTGATTCTTGCAGAAAAAGAGCCAGAACCTCAAACGAATGAGAACAATGTGGAAAATATGACATTTCTGTTCGGTTCATACATTAATTTGAGGAAGGTTACTGTCTCCTCTTCCCTCGACACAAAATGCACATAAAAACAGTTCTCTCAACTCATTTATTGAAGAGCACCTTAACAGCTCCTAAAAATCATATTTTTGCTCATCTCCAGCTGTTAAACTTCTTACCCCAGCTCCAGTGTACTGCCTCCAGGGTGTGGCAGTACACTGTGATATCACCGTTGGTTATAGGTGCAACAGAGCAGAGCCCTGACCCCACCCATCAGTGATCCTGGGTTTCATCAGAGGGGCAACAAGCTTCTGCCTGGGGGGGCGAAACAAAAACTATTTACTGGTTTTAAATATTTCGAAGTAAAGCAAAGCATCATGCTGCTTGCCGAGTGGCCCTACTCCTTCTGATGTCATTGTGACTTTATTGTTATTCTCCCTCACGTGTGGGTTGAAAGACACAGATCAGCTGCTGCTGAAGGCCAGCAGAGAAAAGGTCACCGCCTCTGGCCCTGAAGAGATGTTTCTGGGCCAGCATGCCCACTGTGCAGTCTGCATATAGCTTCACAACATAGTGTCTGTTCAGTACGGTTGTGAGTCAGGGGTGAATGGTGTTCATCCACCTGCCACAACATATTGATACTGAAGCTGTTCTTGTGAAAATGAATATGATTAATATGCAAATAAAAAAAGGGAATAACATGACAATTAAATAAGTTAAAAGTCCAATATGAAACCACTTATTTTAGTGCAACTCTGGCTCAGAAAAGAGGACACAGGCAGGGTCTCAGTCAACACTTCCTCTACCCAGCCCTGTTCGCCATCATCACATACTGGCTGAACACAGACTTCTCTTCCTTGGAAAAACCATAAATGCAAGAGGCAAAGCAGACAAATTACACCTCAGTTCTTCCTCAGTGGCGCATTATATGCTGTTAACACTGTTACACAAGACTCCAAACAAACAGTGTGCGAGTGGCAGCACTGAAAACAAATGATGTTTTAGCAGGGGTTAACCAAAAGGTCATCTCCCATGTTGGACCAGATATTCATATTCCCTATATGCAGATACCGGGGAACACAAAGGCAACGTCAACATATTTCCTTATTAGGTTACACGCAGACCGAAGTGTGAACTGAAGGCAACCATCCAGCAGTTTGTGTCTAGCACCACCACGTGGATAAATGTTGTAGAGCAGTTCTACACTGTGTATTTCTGCCAGTGTGATTCCCTGATCAGCAGTGACTCATTGGTTCTTGTCATCAGACTAAAGATTTAACACTCACTGTGTGTGTGTGTGTGTGTGTGTGTGTGTGTGTGTGTGTGTGTGTGTGTGTGTGTGTGTGTGTTGTGTGTGGCACAGGTTTATCCATGGCAGTGCGTCATGGTTCTCTGTACTCGGGTTTGTCAGGGTTTAATGGAGCTCTGGGCTGCATGGCTGTTGGAGGACTCTTCTTCACCTTCAGCTGGAGGACCCACCTCTTTGCCATCGCCAGCGGTAACACACAAGCACACACACACACAGACACTGTTGCTATCTTTTGTTCGAAGCTCTTAATGACAGAGTTAGTGATCTAACATGAAGCTTTTCCATCACAGTTTTAGTACAGAGGGAACAGAACACTGTGCGTATGCTACAAGGAATACATTGTTTTCCAGCAAAAACAAAATAGGCCACGTTTTCTTATGTTGTTTTTTTGTGTACATTTAGTTTTTTGTCCTACTACCCCTTAAACACCTTGACCTCAGCAGTCAGACTGGTTAGATCGTTTTGCATTAGATTATAGTATATAAATATCCTAGTACTTTTAGGTTACATGCCTTTTTCACATTTTTCCAAACTTAATAATAGAACTTTAAAACCAAAGAAACTCATACAAAACATTCAGCCCCATACTTTTTAATCTTTAAACACATCTTCTGGAGACTAACTGGTCACTGGTGCTCTCCCTTGTAATTTAGGCTGAAATGTAACTCTTTTTATGAGACCCTTGGTTCTATGAAACCTTTTCAGAAATGCACTGGAGCCAATCAAACAAGGCTCATTTTCCTAGTTCCAACACAGTAGACCCCAGACAGTTTACACATGACTCTCACATTGTTACCTGCTTTTGCAAAATGCAGCTTGTTATGAGTTCATGTAATTTGTGAGAGCCCTTTGAGTACCTGAGATGTTACTTGCTGCATCACTGCTCCTCTCAGTAAATCATGGATTAATTAATTCCCCATGTGAATAAATCACATGATGAATCACACCTTCTTAAGGAGGTAAATGACTACATACAGTCAGAAAATAGGTAAATGCCACACATGAGCTTATTCAGCCTTCTCATTGTACTGTGCTGGGACTTCATATGTTTCCATACATACAGTATTTCCCCTTCACCATCATGCGTCCAGTTTACATCTCTTTTTTGCATACTACATTCTACTTATGTGGGCTCTTTTTGCTCTTTCTCTGCACCAAATGGCTGTAATTGCAGAAAAGAGATTAATAATTCTGCAATTTTGTGAGTTCAAGCTTGATTTAATTGATCTATTTAGACTGGGCCTCCCTCTGCTTCCACTCATGGATACAGACAAACTGACAAAATTATGCACATGTTCTATCTCACTCATGCAACTCATCTGAAATTACAACTGGAGCACCATGGGCCCATTAGTGCTGACCAGGATGACAGGGAGCTAATCAACTCACATTAGGTAAATTGTCCCTAATTGGAGCTTCCAGTGTGTCTCCTATCTGAACCGACTGCAGCTAAACTCTGTTCCAGCAACCTGGAGAAAGATACAGGGTGAGTGTTTGGAGGATATATTTAGCCTAATGTCTTCTCCTCTGCCCGCAGCCTTCCTCTCTGCATATGCTGACATTGCTCTGAGCAATCTGCTGGGTACTGTAAGTACACACACCTCAAGCCAAGTGTGTATGATGCAAAACAACAATTTTCCTTCGTTTTGTATACTCTGAAGAATAGCATTGCTGCAAAAAATACACAACAATGATGTCCAGCTGAAATATATATTGTATTGCTACATTACTTCAGGGTGTGACACATTCACTGCATGGCAAAAAAGAAAGCAGGATTTTCAACCAGTGTGTTTCAGTTTGGTCCATTTAACAGCAGCTTCATCATAAGGCAGTTGGGCTGTTGTATCATAGATACTCAGCACTCCACACGAAGACGACATTTTATTTTATTGGTCCATTTTATTTAGCTTAATCTTACCTGGAATAAAACTGCAGGTGCACAGGAGTTACTTTTTTATTTTTTACCATTCCTGCTAACATACATATTACTGTTTGTCTTTTATACCTTCATCAGAGCACAAAGAGTAGGTTAATGCTGAAACTGTACATGTATAGAGCTTGTTCTCACTCAAACTGTCTGACTCACTTCACTCTCTCTCTCTCGTATGCATTATTACAAACCCTCTCTTTACCTAGGTTGGTCTCCCAGCATGCAGTTGGGCAGCTACTCTGACAGCCACGCTGATGTTGCTGCTCACCGGCAGTCTATCAGCGTACCGCATCCCTATTGGTCAGGTCATGGCCCCTGAACGCAACATGCACTCCCGCAGCCAATGGGAAGCTGGGAACACCGTAGAAAGGGAGAGCACTGATGTGTAACACTAAGAAGTTCACACACTGAGTACTGTATCAGTACTTTGAACTTTTGAGTTGGATAACACTGATACATGTTTGATATAAACATGTTATAAATTAGGGCTGCAGGATATGGTAAAAACATTGGTTATTTTGACAGATGTTGCGATTCACAACTATGTGGGAATTTTTGCATCACACATTGAATTTTTATTTTGAAAAAACTATTAGAATCCTGATAATGTGACATTTTTGGGGGTCTGTTTTCTTCTTTCTTAATTCTGGAGAACTAGATCTGTAGAGCAGGGCAGCACTGCAGGACTTCATTAAAATGCTGTTTTGTCACACATTCTACCTTTTATCAAAAGATTACAGCTCTTACTATTTGCATATTGCACTTGGCCGTATTGGTATTTCCATCATTTTCACTTAATTGTGCAGCCCTATTGTAGATCTTTAGATATACACTCGCATTCCACAGTATGTCCACAAGGTGGCAATGTATATTCAGCAATAACATGTTGAAAATGTCACAGTCTGTATACCAACCATTTCTATTAAATAGATAAAATTTTCATCCAAGTTTTGTCCATGCTTTTTGCCACGTTAAGTGTTTTTACTCGACACACGCTAAAAAAAGCCAAACAAAACAGCCAGTTTAAAGGAAAAAAGAAAACGTATTTTATTTGCCATGAAATCAACAAGTCAGTTCAATAAAATCATTCATTGTTAAAATGACAGTTTAACTGCTATTGTCAATAAAAACACAGACTGAATTGAACAGTAATTATTTTCAACCCCTTCATTACCCTGCATAGACATACTACATAGCACTCCACTGGAACTGATTGTAAAAACAGACTTAGTGCAGGCAGACAGTGGGACAATGAGTACAGACAGACAATGTGTTTCTGGAATCAGCTGCTTAGGCCAGCCAACTGTTATCATTATTATTATTATTATTATTATTATTATTATTATTATTATTATTATTAAATTCTCTCCAATGAAAAAGTGAAGGAGTTCAGCTGTGGTTCATTATTCAGTCCTTCCAGGATTATGTAGCCTTCTTTGTAGGGATTGTGGCATAAAAGGCTTGATTTCACAGCAGATTTTGAAAAACAATTGCGATGTTTTTTGGGTTTTTTTGTGGGGGTAAATGAAAATTGGAAAAAATAGTTGTAATTTAATTTTGTATAGTTCATTAAAAAACAATGGCAACTTGTTCCAGTGGGAATATAATTGCTTGTAGTTTGGTGATGATTGGTGGAACCCGCAGGAAACTACAGCGATTGGTGACATTGCTGTTACTGGACAGAAATGCAAGGTCGGGCAGAATTCAGAAGGATTGGTTGAGTTTGCAGTAAATGTTGCGATCGCAACTTCCTGGAGGAACTGATTATTACACTTTTTCCACAGTGCTTCAAGTTGCCTGTGTAGATTATTTTAATGTACATTTCCAATCAACATCTATATTCCCAAACATACACACAAGTCCACATTCACACACAAACCACACAGCCCAGTCTAATGTCAGAAAATATCAAAGCATATTAAATCTTAAAAAGATTATTTTCTTTTTTCGTACGTACGCTTTCGGACACAATAACGTCTTTTCTAAACATTTTTCTTTGCATCATGCATTTCTACCTCGGTGCTTGTAGGATTTTTTTTGTCTACATCATTTTCAGTTCTGGGACTAAATAGTTTTTATCATGAACTACCTCACAGACAATGGTGATGAGGTTGGTAACAATTAGAAACACACAAAAGTGCCTCTCAGTCTGTGATTGATCAAGCATAATAAAAAGAAAATAACAAAAAAGAAATATAAATACTTGCACAAACAGTACGTGTGTCTTTAAGCTGCGTTACAAAATAATGAACATTCGTAGTTCTACGTACTTTCAGTTGAAGATGTCATAAGGACTGCTGTTGTGCTTCTGTTAGCATGACTGTGTGTGTGTGCGTGTATATTTCTGTGTATGCCTGTGTTCATTGTGGTTCAGAATAAAAGCAGAATGACACACCTGTCTGAATTGCCATGTTTGCAAACACACACACATAAAACGTACAAAGTACCGCCACATACACCATACATACTCACTGGTGATGTTTACAGTGTCTGACAAAAAAATTAGGGAGAGGTATCTATTATATCCAATTGAACCCAGTGTAAACTTCAGATGTGTGTGTGTGTGTGTGTGTGTGTAATGTCTGTCAATAAATAAATAGTTTTTCTAATGAATTTTAGCGTGCATGCACTTGCATTTTGCTATGTTTTCTCCTAAGACTTTATAGCTATAACGGCTGAGGAAAAGTTCAATAAAGAAATCTTCATTAACGTCGCCATGTTAGAGCATTCCATTGAAATGATAAGCCTATGTTTGTGTTTATGTCAGTATATACGTAATCCTACTTTGCGAACAGTCACACAATGTTTTGTTCTTCATGCATGTAAACATTCATCTAATCTAAGCGAGTGTAAACAGTGACGCTGTGCCTGGGTCCAGTCTGGTGTTGGCAGCCTCTAGTCAACCGACAGGACAGCAGCTAGAAAACAACATCCTGACTTTTAAGAAGAAATGTCGTTTATGAACGAAGCAGAGGGAGCAGAGTACAAGATCAGCTGTAGCAGCTTGAACCCTGGTTGTGTACAGGAGGGGATCATTTTATGTCAGCCTAAAGGAATAGTCTGACATTAAGGGAAGGAAACGCCATTATTTGCTGAGAGTTAGACAAGAAGATCAATACCACTCTGTCTGTATGGCAAGTATGATGCTATAAGGAGAGGGAACGCTAGTCTGGCTCTGTCCAAAGGAAACAAATTCCTCCTACCAGCACCTCTAAAGCTCTAAAGAGTACCACGTTATATATCGTGCTGTACACTTGGCCGCTTGGGGCACAAACTGTAAACACATCACTAGCATATTATCACCTTTTATAGATGATATGGAGAACATGGTAGCAAACAGTTGCCTGCTTACACATCCAGCTGGTACAAAGCAACATTATCATTCATTTCAAGTCATGTTTCTGGACACCTGGCAAATATAAGTCCAATATTCACTCTCCTTATAGCTCTGTTTTTGGTAATATATTGATATTATAGCTGCTTTAAAAAAAATACATGTGTGGATAATGACACAGAGGAGATGTTGTAGCTGCTGTGATCTACTGCTCTGCTCCCATCTCAAACTATTCTGTTGTTTATTTCCTCTTACCTAGACTAAATCTTGTCATCTGTAGCCAGGGGTGGAATCCAAGAAAGATTAGCACAGCTCTGCTGAAGGTTTAAACTCTCAAAGCTTATTTTTTATTTTGTAAATCCCTCAGAAATCTCTGGGTTCATCCCCATTACTGCCACACAGACTCAAAGGAATCCAGGATTGTCCCTTAAAAAAAGGGTTTTCTCTCTTGACGGAGAGATTACAGATCCTTCTTCTTTACAAAGCTTAGCATGCTGTTCTAACATCTTTCTGTGTGTGTGTGTGTGTGTGTGTAAGTGCCTCTGTGTCTACTGTATGGGTGCAAAGTGTATTTATGTGTGTGTGTGTGTGTGTGTGTGTGTGTGTGTGTGTGTGTGTGTGTGTGTGTGTGTGTGTGTGTGTGTGTGTGTGTGTGTGTGTGTGTGTGTGTGTGTGTATGTTCAGAGCAGCCTCCCCAGAACCACTCCCTCTCTGCTCCTTGCTTCTCCCCTGAGGATCTCAAGGAAGCCCAGTTTTGTCAAGAACTCCAGCCTCTGGCGGTCTGTCGGCTGCACCTCACAGAACACACCCTGAGATCCTACACACACACACACACAAAAGAAATAAAAGATGTGAGTCTCACTCTCCAGCTGCATAGAAAAAAGCAAAAAACCAAAGTCAGAGGTTCATATAAAAAACAATGAATCATACAGAACTAGAGGTGGTCTGAGGTATCCTGTCAAGAAACATTTAAAAAACGCAGGATTTCAACATTCAGGGTGAACAGCAGCTTACCGGCAGTCAGGCAAATAAATGTTTTAGGACTACTAAACTTCATGGTGTGAAAACATCTATAGGCAGCTTGACACTTGACCCATGCTCACTTTAATGGAGTGTGTTAGTGGTGTTACGACACTGTTCAACGCTTAATTCTTTTCTGCTCTTCTGCTAAACTAATTCTAAGAGAATCCTCCACACACACACATACACACATACTTACCGTTGGCCTTGAGTGCAGTGAGAAGGGCGGTGAGCAGGGTACGGCTGACGCTGATGTCCACCAGCTCAGGCAGGGCGTCCAGTCGCAGCTGAGAGGGGAAGTGGTAGAGGAGAGAGTCTGGGTACTCTCCCTGGTCTTCCTCCATCAGCTGGATCAAGTCCTACACAGTAAAGCGGAGACATTGTCACAATGTGACAAAGTCTTTTGTCAACAGCTCTATGTTGTTGTAGTTTCCAACAGCTGCTACTAGATATTACTAAAAGGCCATATTTGACTGATTACACCTTGTACAAACTCATTAGACCAAGGTACTTTCAAATTACCCCAGCAACAAACAGACAGTATGAAGACTAGTCATCACCATGCATTCAGATTTCACCAAATTTGTTTTGAGCGTACATTCAACGCCTTATAACCTCAACAGAGTCTGTGCTGTAATCACAGCTTGCTAGCGAGGAGGTTTTCTCAACCTAGTTTTCGAGTCATAAAACATATTAAGACAGTAAAGTAACAATAAACTTAGGATAATAACTAATTGCATGAAACACTGGTGTTCTGTTCCTATGTCTAATAAAGCAGGAACAGATACCGTTCAAACACTGTTTGGCCAATTCAACTTTGATTAACAGTAAATCCTTCAACTGGAAAACTTCGACCTCCATACACCTGTGCCTGCAGTGTGGCTGATAGTCATCCAAAGTAGGACTGCGCACCATGACGCACAGAGTGGGCAGATGAATCCACCACAGATGTCAAGGACTGACTGTCCCCGTTGCTCACCACCAGCTCTGTTTGGCTCTTAGCCGAAGATCACTCAACTGTTTGTCATGGTGGGCAACAGCAAGACTATAGCCGAGCCTCCTGTGCTCAACGTGTCTTATCAGTAAAGTCTTGACTGATGCGTACCCCGACCATAACTATCATCTATTCCTGCTGTTAAGTCATGGTTGCACTACAAGCACCTGGCAACACAATTTCTGTACATTAACATGGTGCACTGCTGATGAGGAAACTAGAACCCCATAGTAACGTGGAGAGGTGGAGAAAGAATGTTATAGGTGGTGGCTACATTTCTGTCCAGTCTGTGTGAGTGTTAATCTGCATGTGTGTGTCATTTGCTTTGTTTGTGTGTGCCACCCACCTCCCAGTGAGTTATTAATCCGTCACAGAGCGATCCAGATGGTGTAACTGTAGGTGCCGATATGTCTAAACATTTGTGCGCATAATTTCACCTGTGTGTTGGGTGTGTCTATAACATGGTTTCAGTCCTGTGCCCTTCAGAATGACAGAATAATCAATGTTAGTCATTATTAGTGATTCTTTACTGCTACTCGACATATTCACCTGTGTGTTGGAATGTGTGTTGCCCCCTTTGGATGGGTACTTGTCCCTCATGGCGGGCATCCAGCTGACCTGGCACCGCTTGGCAAAGGAGCGAACATCCAAGATGCCCAAGACACAGCCACACACACCCAGCTCATCCTCTAGGATGAAGCTGTACTCTGGGCACAATGCCAGGCACGGTCCGAGACATCTACGGAAACGAAAAGAAAATATGTGAATATAGAATTCTAACGTGGTAAATTATTAATGTGGAAGTGTTTTGCAATGCAGACAATTCCTCTATCTCCTTTCTCTCTCTCTCTCTCTCTCTCTCTCTCTCTCTCTCTCTCTCTCTCTCTCTCTCTCTCTCAAGCACACACCTGTCTCCTATGACATCTGGGTGAGCAGTACTGGACTCTTGGCCACCCTGAGTCCTCAAGTGGAGTTGGCGAACCATTCGATACAACTCCACCTACACACAAAATCATTATTGTTTGGAGATATGGTAGTGCCCCAGTCTATTAGGCCATATGTTTCTCAAAACCAGAGTGTATATGTTGAACTATAGATCGACAGGTGACTGAACAATCAGGATCCTTCAAAAACTTTGTATAATGTCGCAGCATTTCCCCATAAAAGCTTCCTACTGTGGTCTGACTGAAAAGTCCATACATTTCCCACAACTTTCCAACACTATGTCAGAGTGTCTAAAGCCTAAAAATCTTCCTCCTTCCTGGTTTGGTGACAAGGAAGTGTCTGGTGAATGAATTCAACAGTATACATTAATAAAGTAATAAAAACTGCAGTTCTTTGAATGACCATTATCCTGGCATCACGTGTGCAACAGGAACATGTGGGTGTGACTTCTCACCTTGTCCTTGCCGTGGTAGGGCCTGATGTTATAGAGACGAGAGGTAGGGAAGAGAGGAGGAGGATGAGTGAAGAGATCATTGCTGCTGCCTATTGGGAGAAGCATCTACACACGTAAAAAACACACACGTAGGCAGTTATAAGCATATTGAACTTCAACAGTACATATTATTATGAATTTAAGAACACAAGCAGGCACAATAACAGAACAAGAGGAGTAATTCACAAAATCTATGGAAAATGTTATACCTGCACCTCCCCAGACACGCCCCCTTTGAACACCCATGGCTCTGACTCCATTCCCAGTAGGTCCGCCCCTGTGGACTTTCCACACCCTACCACAGACAAGAACCAAATGTCAGTCCGGTGACATTGTGATGTGAGGGCCAATGGAATGCCAGGAAACATGTCAGTGCAGATGGAAACTGATCGCACAGTTAAATCAGCTTTTAAATATTCATGCCAGCATAAAAGTTTAGTGTTTTACAGCATTACAGCTCCTCAAGAGATGTTGGCTGAAATTAACTACTTCATTTTTATGCTAGTGCCATAAATATTTGAAGCATGACTGCTGGTTCAGTCCTCAGTGCACCCTTATCTGCTGAGCTGCACGAAGCTACAGCTGAGTTATAGCTACTGGATGTTGGGTTAATAGAACATTGTCAGACTGATTTTAATTTTGATAATAATGGTTTGTGAAGCAGTGGTTACTTGTAGTTTGTTATTTCAGGCATAGATATGGAGACCAAGAGTTCAAAGTTCATGCCTACTCACAGTGGAAGCAGTTCTTCCAGGTGCCCAGGGTGGAGCTGTCACTCAACACTCGTCCATCTGAGTGAGATAGATGAGTGAGTGGGGTTAGATTATAATATGTATTATATTATATTATTATAGCATAGGATACTACTGGTATACTATACTATACTATACTATATGCAGTATCATTGAGTAGTATCGCATAACATACCATTGCTTTACAGCACTATACTATACTGTGCTATGCTAGTCTATAGGGTAGAATAGAGAGCATACTACACTATACTATACTGATATACTATACATTACTACTGTATTGTACTGTACTGTATATACTGTGGTACTATACTATACTCAACCGTACTATAGGCTATGTTATCGTATGCTATATAGCATAGAATAGTATGGTATTATATTAGGTAATATATTATATTATAGTGCTATAATACTGTGCATCTCTGACTCTTATTTCCTGTTTTATTTTGTGAACTTCTCCTCTTGTGTCTTCCTTAACTTTCACTTCCTGTCTGTTCTCTCCAGTTTAGATTGTCCGTCCCTGATTATTTTTTCCTGTGACTCGTCCTCCCCCCTACACCTGTGTGTCTTGGTTAGTCTTTGTGTTCCCTTGTTTCTGTGTCAGTTCGTCCTAGTTGTTCTGTCCCTGGTTGCTTTGTCCCCTGTTGCCTTGTTAGATGTTTTTACTTTTGCTTTGCCTGGATCAGTATATGTTTACCTACCTGTCTACCTGCCCGCCTGCCTACCTGTACCTGCACCTGCCAATTTAGCTCAATTTATTTTGAATCACTCATCATCCTGCTGCTGTCTTGCAGTGGGTCTCTGTAAATATTTTTATGAATAAAATCTAGACCGGCTATATATATGAAAAGTTTTCTAAGATAACTTTTGTTATGATTTGGCACTATACAAATCAAATTTAACTGAACTGAATTAAAACTTGATAATACCATACTATATTATAAGCAAAGTATAATAGGCTATCATATTGCTGGTATATTATTGTTCCCATGTCACTGGGGCAGGGAGGGCATCTGGTGTAAAAAGCCTATGCAAAATCGAAAAAAGGCAGATCATCAGATCTCCACGCCGGGTTGGGCAAGGCCCAGTAGTAGTATCAATAACACAGTAGTAGCATATTATACAGTAGTGCAGTAAAGTAAAACACATGTTATTATTCTGTATTTACATACTTTCCTGCTTCCATTTCTCTTTATACTCACCCAGCCAGCATATGAAGGCTTTTGCCACCAGCGCCATGTTCCTCAGGTCCCACACATAAGGGTAAAGGTCATAGAGCACGGCTCTGTTGGCTCCGCCCACCACACTGCAGTGGAGCTGTGCTATGTCTTCACACAGGGACATGAACCTGGAGGCCCGGCCACGCCACTCATCAATCTGAGGATATGCACCCAAGTACGAAAGGTCATGCACTTTTTATCACTCACAATTATCAATCAACAAAAACCCCAATTAAAACTTCACAAACAAGAACTCTACACAAAACACAGACCAACCTTCTGAGGCGGTGCCTTCTTGCTGTTAGTGCTGACCAGGTGGCAGTTTGTTTTCAGCCAGGTCAGGTCCTGCAGCAGTTTCTGGGCTGACAGGCCATGCTCGTGGGGTAGATAATGAAGACCAACCAGCAGCCGCACCTGCGACTCACTGAGGAGACCCTTCCCACCACACAGTCCCCGACCCTGGGCCTTCTGTCCCTTACCCCCACCTGAATGTGCCAAAGGCTTGGATCCTGGAGGCTGATTGGGTTGAACGGACTGGTTTGGCCTCTTCTTCTCCCCCTCTCGTCCCTCCCTCTCCCCCTTGACCTTAGTGGGTGATGATGGGGGTGAGCTGGAGTTGAGGGGGAAAACAGGAAGTTTGGCCACGGCAGAGGTTCCTCTCAAGCTGGAGGGGCAGTCAGCTCTGTCAGGAGTCTTGCAGCGAGATGCTGGAGCAGAGGAACGCTGGTCTGCTCGTGAGCTCTGCCGACCTGTAATTATTAAAACAAAATAAATAATTGCGTTACAGAGCAGCTGAAGTGTTTGGGTCTGGTCTAATGCTGGTCTCAGCACACACATATGCAAGCACAGCACCAAATTATAATCAATCAATCAATCAATCAACTTTTATTTCCAGACTCAAGGTCCAATAAATACACATACCAATACAAACAACGGCACATACACAAACAACAAAAGACCAGAGTTTGACAGCAGCATAATGATGAGGTTACATGAACCATTCAATCTGCAAATAAATTTGTGCATTAGGTTTCTCAACAGTGCATGGAATGTGTTGACTCCTACCCTACAAAATAGTTCACTTGCACTGCTCCACCTGGGTTTTTAAGCAGTATACGCAAATTATAGGCAATTTGGAGCTTCTGGATGCTAGACTTTTTAAACTTGGTCCATAAGGGGCAATATACAGAGGAGTACAATATGCTTTAAACAAGCTTATCTTAACTTTATCTGAGCACCAGTGGAATTTCCTAACCAGCATGTTAGCTTGTGCATATAACATACGGCGCTGCCTATAGATGTCATCATCATCACACATTTGATCTGTGATGATGTGTCCTAAATATTTAGTTTTATTACCTACAGTTAAAACTTGCCCTGCCAGGTAAAAAGATGGAAAGTTTAAATCCTTATCTCCTTTTGTTTTACAGATCAGAACAACACTCTTTTTGCTATTGTATTTAACATCAAATTTGACACCATACTCAGTACATATGTTCAGCATCTCTTGAAACCCAGCACTGCTAGGAAAAAGATAGCTAAATCATCAGCATACATAAGGTAGTTTACCAGGGTGTTGCCAACCATGCATCCTGTTTTACTGGCTCTTAGTTAGTCAGATAAATCATTCATATAAATATTAAAAAGGGCAGGTGAGAGTAACCCCCCTGACGAACCCCATTACCCACGCCAAATGGTGTAGAGACTGCATTCCCCCACTTGACCTGCATGCTCTGGTTAGCATACCAATATGCCAGGATCCTAATTATGCTATTGGGCACACCTCTTGTAATGTTAATGTTTACCTGCTTGTAGTGGTTGGTTGAGTTCTTCCATCCAGTCGTGTAGTGCAGCAGACAGAGCTCTATCGGGACAGTATTCACACTCCTCATCTAGAGCAAACATATTGTGTTACTATGAGGGTACTAAATTACTCATATTCACACAATATACAGGGCAGAAAACCGCTCTCAAATTCCTTAACATAATCAGTCTGTGGTGTTCATTGCATTCTAGTTGGACATGTTTTGGTGCATACACATCTACACAAATTGCATAAAGCTGGAATATTCTAATTTCACAATTATTTCATTGGCTAGAAGTTTGCTCAATGCATAAAAATGACTATTGTGTTCAGAGGTTTCACACTCTTCACTGTTAATCTGCCAATCGACAGTATAGACAGTCGACTAAATCTTATCAGACGATCCCTGAGGCTACATCTTATCAACTACAGTTCTGCATCCTAATGTGTATCTACTTGGGAGTACTTGACACCAAAAAGGTTGAGAACCCCTTCTCTACTGTACTGGAGATACTGCAATCTGCATTATGTCATGTCCCAGAAATGCACACTATGTCAACAAATTCTGTTTTGCAGTGTTGAGTGTTACATATGACACATTTTAAATCATAGACAAGTCTAATTAACTAACTAGCATAACAAGGTCAACTTCAGCTCAATGCTTAAATGCTAAACCTGAAAATACTTTTACATGTCTAATCTAAACTCCAGAAAGTAGACCCTGTTTTTTTTATAATTTTTAGTCAATCCCTCTCACACGAAAAGACTGAAGCCAGTACTTATTTCACACACTACCGCGCCCCCCACCCGTTTAATGCTGCCATTAAAATTCTTCATCCATTTCCATCCACATCACAGGCTTCAGCCTGCCCTTCATCTCTCTTCTCATCCCCCCACCCCTTAAAGCCCTCCGCCTTGTTTCTCCTCCACCGAGGGACCTTCCTCTCTTTTCATTTCTTCCTTCATCACGCCACACAATTATTCCTCCATCACCACCTCTCCCCGCTCGGTCCTTAGAACATCTCACGCTACAGTGGTTCTCTCTCCAGCAGTTTTCCATCCAACTCCCTTGTTAACTCTTTCTTTCTCTGCTGGTATTCTCATCTATACTAAAGTAAATTAAATGCAACCAATATGAACCAAATGTCAAATCTTACTGAATACCTCACATACAAAATAGCAGGACTGTATGCACTTTGTGTGAAATAGACTAAATTAATCTGAAAGCTATGATCTCTTTGCTGTGAGAGTAAATGAATATTAATGGAACTGGTGAATTATGCAACTCAGAATTGGGTAAATATTTTAATTCTGTGCAACCATAGCTTAAAATTTACAGAAAATATTCAACCAGGACAAAGGATGGAGCTTTAATTCTTAAGTTAATTGAGTTGTTAAGTAATATCAGGCAACATTTCTGCCTGGTGGTTAATATTGTGTTAGTTGCCAAGCAACGCTGTCTTATTAAACATTTCTTCAGGAAGCAATGAGACTGTACATGGCTCTGGTCTGGCAGAGCCAATATTAGTTTATTAACTGGGGACATGTCTCATCACTTCTTCCTTCCAACTGCTCATTAATCCTTTTGCCTTTCTGTCCTTCCCTCCGCCGATCCCCTCACCTTTCCTCTCCTCCTTTCCAGCTCTGTACCAGCTTCCCAGCGTATGGAGAGGGATGTAGTTGGCTTCAAACTCGCAGTTCGGGTTGAGTAACAGGCCTCTGAGGTTGCTCCTCAGCTGAGGCTCTCGGCCCTTAAATGGCCCCAGAAAGAGACGTCTGGAGTCATAGTCATTAGCGTGCAGATTGTCCCAGATGAGCGGGGGGCGCTGGAGGACAGACTCCACCTCAGCCAGGCAGTCTACAGACAGTTTCCTGGAGATGACCTTACTGCCTGTGGAGTGTGAAGGGAAAGGGGTGACGAAGGGAAGCTTAAAGGTTTGAAAAACAGACTTTGCCACATCCAAATCTGAGGGAGAAAACAAGAGACTGAAAGGAATAGGTTGTTCTCTCTATTTCTGAGGCACTTTCAGACCAATCAGTGTATTTGAACTTTGGAGTTGCACCTTCAATGTTGGTTCTCTTACAAAAGAAAGAATAGTTATTTCTTTTTCTTTTTTTTTTCTTTTTGGAGAGAGAGGCGACAACAAGCATCAAAGTGCCACAAGAACCACAAGAACCCAGGCTGCTGCATGGAAGGATGTTAAAACAGATAACCATCAGTTAACCATGCTTTAAGTGTCTACTGTAGCTCACATGCGTAGATGTCCACATACCTAAACGAGAAAACAGGACGATTATGAGGACAGAATGGTACAAAACAAGATAAACTTGGTGCTCCAGGAGACAAACGTTTTTTCCGAATAGGTCGACAAGCAGGTATCACAAGATGCTTATGTTCATGACATTGTGACCCTTTTGCAGCTAATTTTTTCTTCAATAGCTTTGTGGCATATTTTGCACGCTGAGCTGTCTTTGTCTTTTTACTGGAAGTATTTGTTTTTCTAATCCAAATTAGGTCAGGTGTCACCTATGTTCCAGCACACAAACAAACCACAACATCTCTGTTACTGTCCCTGTCAATTTCATACACTGAAAAGCAGACAGTCCATCACAAAAGTTTGCAAACTAGGGGACCAAATTAGGCACTAAATTTGCAGCGTGATATATTTTCCTCTCAACTTAATTTTGACACATATCACAAGTCAAAAAGGATAACATAGTTGTGACTCATGCCTGAGCTTCATAGGACTCGCAATTTACTCTGTACTTTTCAGGTAGCATTTTTTTGATCACGTAATCATCACTTGCAAAAACGCCTTCAGGTATGGCTCAAGAGTGAGTGAGGGTTGAAAGGTAAGTGCTCAGGCAGGTCTGCTTTTCCTACCCCGTCTATGTTGACAAGGGAAAGTGAAAAGCAAGCATAAAAGCTTTAGCTCACAATGTATAATTAACGATTCGAAATTCAAAAACTGAAATAGATGAGAGAGGAGGCGATAAAGTGTGTACGTGTGTCTTTCTATTGTACTTCCATATGTATGTGGGTGGATGTGCACCTAAATCATCTTTGGAGAATGTTTAGTGTGGATTTGTGCCTGCACTTATTTGCATGTGTGCATGCCAAGCTGTGTTTTGCCCGTGCGTGTGTGCTGTTACTAAGGGAGACATTGCAGGTCAGCTAATGAGGCCAAAAAAACAAGAAACAAGAAACTGTACTTAAAGCCCCTATAAGGAACTTTCATTTTGTGTTGATTCTGGCTTCATTTATTTCAAGGAGAATCCGACCAAATCTGACCCTATGGCAGGCATAAAGAATACTATAAAGAAATAGTCTTTGTTAATGTAGGTATATAGAGGCATCAGTATTAAACTCATAACCAGTTCAAAACTAATAACAGTAAGTTTAAAGACTGTTGCTTATGTCAACAGCTACATCATACAGTGTAGTAAAGAATACAGTTTCATTTTTGTTGTTTTATTAGTTATAGTCATTTAAATCAATGACTTCATCAGTTAAACTTTAATATTTATGCTGACTTGTGTATATGTCTCACCTGTCCATACCACTGTTATGTCAGGCAGCAGGTCCTCTCCAATAGTCTGCAGGTAGGGAGACTTTGATATACTGGGAGAACACAGAGAACCACAATACTCTACAGGGAGAAAGACAGAGATTTCATCATCAAGCTTCATGTACAGGCAGTAAACACTGCACGTCAAATTTTACTAGGTTCAACACTCCAGTTCAATTCAGTTCAGCACTCCTACCTGTAGGGCAGAATAGGAAGACAGGAGGTTCCCCCAAGAACCGATAGATCTCATTGGTTACAGTGACCTGAGCATGGGCGAATGAAGAGAAGGCCTCGCTGTCGGCCTGACACATGGAGTGATCGATGTCGTCAAACAGAATGGCAAATGCCTGGCAACCCAGGTCTGATACCTGGAGAGAGAGATGAGGTTGTGTATGAAAGAGAAAAGTAAACAGAAGCTCAAATCAGAAAAAGTTAAATTCCTGTAGTATTTATTAAAAAATTGTGTCCTATACCTGTCTCAGCTTGCGTTTGAGTAGTGTGAGGTCACAGGAAGAAGAGAAGACAATGTCCTGACCAGGAGAGAGGGCGTAGACAAACTTCAGGCCTCTCGACTGGGCCTCCGCTATGAGAGTGCGTAACTGACCTGAGAGGAGGAGGAGGGGAAGGAAAAATCTTGAATTTAAAGCGAGATGAAAAGAGACACAAAGGCCAGTGTTTACAATTACAGAAGTCTTTGGGAGTCTCAAATCATAAAATCCTATGAGAGTACTTTAGCATTGCACTCCTATAACATCGCCGGACTCATGATAGACAGAACCAGAGATATTTTCTCTTTTAATCCATGCATGTTTCTTCCTTTCCAAAACACAATGCAACAAAGAGATTTAGGTGTGTTATGCTAGTAGTGTCTAATGTAATGAGGAAGGGGCTACAGAGGTGTGATATCACTTCCTTTACTCCCACATATTTTATATTGCCATTTTAACTGATAGTGGCAGGAAAGGGGAGGAGACAGGGGATGACACCCACAGGTCAGATTTGAATCCTGGGTTGCTGCAGTAAGGACTCAGTCTTGGTACATGGGTCGCCAGCTCTACCAGGTGAGATGAATGTTGAATAGATAGATTGACAGATGGATGAATAGGATGTTCTTACCTTCCTCTTCAGGAGAATAGACTTCTCTCCACAACAGTCTGTGTTTTAGGTCGTCCTTTGGGCCGTACAGGTACGTGTTCAACCCCCAATGCTGCATCCTGGCACAGGGAGACATGGACAGAGGAGACATGGGGAGGGAAAATGTTACTGAAGTGCAGGTTTAACTAATTTAATTAATTTTGTAAGTCTGCAGCAGACACTCACTTAAAGCAGCTGTCTAAAATTATTGCAGAAAAACAAATCCCAGTGGTGATGGGAAAGTCAATGTGTATTTTATACTATGTTACAATTAAGATTGCAAAATATTTATGCATTTACCTTTTTTTTTATTCAAGCACTTTTTCACTTTTTTTACAAATTATAATATAAAAGCAGGTCTAATAAAGGTTTAAGAGTTTTTATTCATTTTAACTGTAGTTGCTATTTTACTCAATATGTAATATAATTCATTAGGGTTTATTCTTTATATTCTAGTAGAAAACTTTCTGGGGTGCAAAATCTCTTCAAAACACTTTTCAATTGCTTTGATAATAACATATATTACTTTGTATATTTATCTGTTATATACAGTATATTTTATCTGCCTTTTCCACAGTTTAAAGCCATAGCTTTATCTCTGTCATGTACTGAAGGAGCCCTAGAGAGAGACATGAGCTGCTGAGAAGAAAAACAAAAACAACAAGCAGCCAGAAAACAGGTCCACTGTATTGATTGTGGGGCTCCATGGCCACCTCAGTTACAGGAAATAACCTCCTGAATTATAAATAGAGCATAGTACTAGGAGTGAAACAATATCTGCATCCCAGAAACACACATATACACAAAAGCATAAATATTGCTCTTTCTCTCTCTCTGTTTCTGGACATGGACCAGCTCTTGTCATGCTTGTCATTTGTGGGTGGACTATTTTCTCATTCTCTCCCGGCTTCATTTCCTGGACAGATGGTGTGTAAGTCACCTCCACAAAGCTGCAACCTACCTCCCTCGAGCACACAATCGCACGCACTCACTTACTGTACACACGTTCGCAGCCCTGCACTGCCAAACTTATGCAACACTCAGTGTATGAATTTTGCCTGCACCCCACACTTGAGTCTAAAAGCTGATCTATAAATAAACCTGGAGCCCACACACTCAGATGCTGCTACACTGATGAAGTTTTGGAAGTCAAATTCATCCATATAGTCTCTTCATAACGCAGTGATAGCCTGCAGTTCAAATAAACATTGTTCGCCAGTTGCCACATCTCTAGACTTCATGCATCATAAAGCATAAATCACCCAAATAGAGGTTTAGGGACACATTATAGTGAGGCGGTCATGGTTACTGACAGTATGCTATAATGATTTGGTCTGTATTTAAGAGCAGTGGAAAGCAGAGAGCAGAGGGAACAACTAACCTCCAGGGATGTAGTCGACAATCACTATTGGCTGTTCCACTCATTTGCAAAATCAGTGTGTCATCAAGAATTACTAACTACATATACATATACATAGACAGTGACTGTACATGAGAAGGGAATACCACCTACCCTTTATTATTTCATATTTAACACACTGTTGTCCCATTATCTGTGTGTTTTCATTTTCAGGAATATACCAATGCCTTAAATGGCGCCTTGACTGTTTGTTTTTTGTGATTTGAAATGATCTTTTACTGTAATTCATGCAGAATTCAAAGAGCTTGTGTTTCTTTGTGAGCTGATGAAACTGTTGTGGCAGTCTCAATAAGGGGCTGCCGCCTTGATTTTGTCTTGTCAAGATTCAAAGAGTCTCGGCTCATTATCCTGCTGCCCTGATATTGGATTACTGTCTCTCAGGCCACTCATACTATATAGACCATTTGATAATCTTGATTGTTGATTTTATCTGGTTTGAATGGCTTTTGTCTACAGTGTTTATGTTGTCACAATGCTTGCAAAAGAGAGCCTGTTATGGCACTATCACTCCACACACTGTGGCCAACAACTGTGGTTGTGCTCAGCAGCTCCCTGGTGTGAAAGTCTCTATGTGGAAAAATATGTTGCTAAATAAGGAGCCATGGGCACAGAAAAATCTCCCCTCTGTAAAGGTGAAGAGGATACATCTAAAGGCGAGAAAGGCTAAAATGTAGTGAGCAAGTATGATTAGTATTCCAGTTAGCTCTAAATCTGACTGATATCACTATTGTTAACACAACAAAAACAAACAGTTCTGTATCTTTAAATGTATTTATTATTTATTTATTTTTTGTTTTCCAGTAAAGTACATCAAAAAACTTCACAAACATGCTTTGGTGTTTAAAGCCTATCAAACAATAATTATTACTATTATCAATTGATCATTTATTGGGTATAATTAAATTATCAGAATAATACATAATAATATAAATTCCCCATTATCAGACAATATTGGCCCCAATAATCATCATACATCCCTACTAGCATTAATGTTTACCATGTTTACCTTAGTTTAGTGTGTTAACATTTGCTAATTAGCACTAAATACAAAGGGCAGCTGAGACAAAACTTAATACAGTAGAAATACAAATAGAAACTAGAGGAGGTGTGAATGGTGGATGTTGAAAAGCTGATGTTTAACTGAATTGCTGGCTTTAATTTATGTAAAGAAGCAGCTAAAGGAGCTGGAAAAGTGGAAAAGGGTTTGATGCAGCTAGATGCATCACAATTCTACAAACCTTTAAAATATGAATAAATAAATGAAACTGTACAAAATGCCACGGCAACCCATCCAGGACCAAACCTGACCCATTCCTACCATCCCTAGTTTGGCTGAAAACCATATGTATGGAACCAAATGATCCGCAGCCAATCTTTGATCCTCTTTCTCTATCCTTCCACTGTAAGAGAAAGCAGTATCTGCCCCCCTCTCCTCCTGCCACCCATGGCTGAGCCTCAGGACGGAGGATGAGCCTGTCCTTTGCTATGGACTCATTCTGCATCACTGATTTCTCTCAGGTCGTCCTGGCACTGAAATAGAGGCGTGCAACTGGGTTCAGCCAACAGGCGTCAGGTCAGTAGTTCCTGAGCTGACGCTGTTCATGTGAAGAACAACAACAACACAAAAACCTCCCCACTCTGACCGGGTCAACACAACATATGTGACACCTGTACCTATGTACATACAGGGCAGCACATGCAAGCTTGCAGACACCAGGTTCATTACAGTTTACTAGCTTGTTTAAAGAGCGCTGGCAGACTTACCACTGGAAGAGGACTTTCCTCTGATCCATAGACCACGGCCTCCCATAGAAACCTGCAGAGGAAATATAAAAATGAAACGAGTGCACAAATGCCACTATAAATCCACACCTTCAGATATACATGATCACTGGCAGAATGAAACACCTACTGTAGAGTACTGTTTCATTCCACAAGGCCATGCAGGGGAGTCAATTCTATTACTGATCTGTTTACTATTATAGGTTTTAATGGATTGTGGAAATCTTTTTGGATATATTACACTTCTTTCTTTTAAATTTCTATTCAATTCATTTTTTTTCCTTATTGATCAGTAAATAACAAACTGTGGTGTTTCTGATAAAAAAAAAATGTTAATGTCTTTTCAGTTACAGCAGATGTTATTTCCCACATTTTATATTCAAACAGACATACTGTATGCATATGCACTATGTTTATCATACGATACTCGTATGTTTTTAGTTCAGCTCTGCAGCAATTAATCACAAATCAGTTAGTTCTCAGATACTGGACACTATTAGCATTACAGCTGCAGTACTGTATGGGCACACAAAGGATGTGAGTTCTCCCACTGACTACTTCGTCACATCCCCTCTGTGTTTGGCAGAGGCATAATTTATCTCCAGCTACACTCTCCATCACATTTTCTATTTTTAGAAATGGGAGCATCTCCAGTGTCCCTCTCCTTCCTTTGTGTTTTTGAATAGGTCTGCAATGTGTGTTTGTGTGTGTGCGTATGTGTGTGCGTATGTGTGTGTGTGTGTGTGTGTGTGTGTGTGTGTGTGTGTGTGTGTGTGTGTGTGTGTAGGTATGTGTGCATGTGTGTCTGTGTGTGTACGGTAAGTGGGTCATAGTGAGAAGTAAATCGGATCCACTAAAAATCCAGTCTGCTTTCCCCTGCATGGCCGTAGGGAGAGTGAATTTCAGTGTGCATGTGCGTGACACATGTACCTGTGTGCATGAGTCTGCATGTGTGTGTTTTCATGTGGAGTGCTCCCCACTAAGCCAGACCCAATTACTAACTCTGTTGGATTCCACCACATGGGACTGAGAAACACACAGGTTTAAGAGGTTCCAAAAAGTAATAAGGTGTGTGTGTGTGTGTGTGTGTGTGTGTGGTGTGTGTGTGTGTGTGTGTGTTTGCTAGAGCTACATGATGTGTCATACTTTTATTATCATTGCGATATGAATTTCCAAAATAAGCCCATCCCAAAGGGCTGTGAAACCACACTAGCTGAGAATTGCAGAGCGAGTAGACAAACAGACCAGTGCTGAAATAATTAGTCATTTGACAGAAATGAATTGGCAACGATTTTAATAATCAATCAATAATCTTTTAAGTAATTTAATAATAAGTAATGGCAAATATTTGCTGGTTCCACCTTCTTAGACACATGGGGATTTGTTGCATTTCTCTGTTTTATATCACTGTGAATTTAGATATTTAAGGCTTTCTGACTGGTGATCAGACAAAACGAAACATTTAAAGATAAATATTTGCAGCATGATTTCTTCACATTGTGTGTGTGTGTGTGTGTGTGTGTGTGTGTGTGTGGTTGTGAGGGCGAGTGGGTGAGTAGGGGGGACACTTCTTCTGCCATTATTATTATCAAGTTCTTCTTTGCAATCCTCGGCAGTAATTAGTCTGTATCCTGCTTTGTCATTGTCATAACCTGTTTCTACAACCTGTATCTTCACTGGAATTTTTTTCTTTTTCATTGAGGCCCTCATATTGTCCTCTCCTTCATTGCTTTCTTTCATCATCCCTTTATCATTACCATCCCATTACCATCATCATTCCCCCCTCACATCCTCGGTCACAGCCTCCCCACCATCACCCCCACTGTCACATCATCCCAACAAACATCATCAGTAGCAATTACCCTCCTCATCATCAAGTTCACCTTCACTATTATTGCCATTATCAGCATCATCACATTGTCTTCATTTCCTCCATTACCACCATAATCATCACATTAATATTATCATCTTCATCCATTATCGGGAGTATTTCCTTCCCTCACGCTGCAGCCTTTGAACCAGACATTACTGAACGCTTTTCACCGCCTGCTCTTTGATCTCCACTCCGAGCCTGGCTGATCACCAGCACACCATCATCTGATGAAGACCCCTAACATCCTACCTACGTCTGTGTTCATAGTACCACTCCCACGCCCCCCTTCACCTACAGTGAGTGACAAAACAATGCTGAAATCTAGGTCAAACGGTGGGCTATTCAAAGACACCCCCCCCCCCAACCCCTGAGGTAAGAAAAAAAATCACATGATCTTACAGGAGGTCAGTTCTGAAGTCGGCCGCTCTTACCTTCCACCACCCCGCAAAGAAACTGCTTCTTCTCCTCCATCCTGTCCTCGGCCCCGCTGCCTCCCTCCGCTTCCAGTCGGCCCCTTAAGAGCGAGGGAAGACGAGATGCTCTCCCCGTCTGACAGCTTAGGTACCGGGGATATTCTTCATGCTTCTCCTCGATCTGCCTCCACCTCCTCCTCTCCCCTCTCCTCCTCTCCACGTCGCTGGGGCTCTCGTGTTGCGTTCAGGGGCTCAGCGGAAGCTCCCGCTTTCAAGCCCTTGAAGCTCATGAAAACAAAAACAACTAATAACAAAAGTGACCCTGCAATAAAGGGGGTCGTTTTTTTGGTGGATTAGTTTTTATTCATGTTTTATACCGTATATATAATTATAATAAAGGCAAACGTATGCTATTTTAATCTGCGGTTACAGTTATTGACATACTGTTTATTGTTATGGTTTAATATATTATAATATAATATAATACAAAAAACATCATTTGTAGGCTATTGCATGTAGGCTATCTAAACGAGGTTATGTTCCTTTACAATACAACTGCAGAATGAAACAATGACATTTGCTAAAATTAAGAGACAACATGAAAAGTAGAACTCAAAATAAAAACACTAAAAGGATATTATTAATAGTTTAATGGACATAAAGAGAGAAAACACATTTTCACAATTAAAATGCATAAGCTATCAGACTAGAGCAGAAACCCTTAATCTTAATTATAAAGCAAAATATTGTTATACTTTTTTTGTTCCCCTTTAATATCTTTGTGCTATATTATATATTCATATACATATATTCAAGGGGTGTGTCACAATATCTGTCAATTAAACCACTTTTGCAGTAAAATAGTTTTATACAAGAATCCATCTCTTATATGGGAGACCTTGGAGAATATAAAAAACATTGTTGGCCTTTCCCTCTAGCTTATATGGGAATGGGAATATCCTCTCAAGGAAGTGAGGTCCAAAAACACACCTGCTATTACCTCCTATCTCCACACCTGATCCTAAAGGTTGGTACTTGAATGTGATCAGTTCCTTTCACTGTGCTGCTCCTGCTGAGGGCTGCTGGCTGCAGTCTCCTCTTCTGGACAGCAGGGGGCAGAAGAACTGAAGAAGCAGGTCTGACATCTTGAAAGTTGCTAACTTAGCTTTATTGTCATTCTGTTGAAGTTTTGTTTGTGGCTACCTGACAAATGTTAGTCCAGTATCCACTAGCCCTAGCTCTGTTTCAGCCCTCACCAACTCCTGAGGAAAATCTCAGCGTTCAATAATGTAATATGAACAGGCGGTAGCTAGCGTTACTTTCACCTGCTAACGTTAGCTTAATGTAGCTAACAAACGTTAACAGTAACATTACACTACTAGCTATAAGTTATATAATTCTTTACATAATATCACATTACAAAGTTTGTAGTTAAGAGTACTTTTAGCTATTTTACTTAGTTACTTTACTTTTAGCTAACGACATTTAATGTATAACAATAGAAAGGCTTATTTTATTCAATAGAAAAACATATAGGATAAAGACAGAATACTGCACTAATATTACAGTGGCTTACATATATACATATAATATACTATATATATTATATATATAATTACATAGGTACAGACACTAGAAACTATTTGTGACTATTCACATATGAAAATTAGCATTCAACCTAAGAACTAAGAAATTTCTTTTATGAATAAATTTTAGGTCCGTTCAGCTTTTCAAATACATTTTCAACATAAATCCAATTTTGTTTCACACATATAACATTAGTTATAATGGGGTCTGTGCCAAACGTGTGCTATAAAATTGAGCTGTAAAGAAAAGCCTTTCAGTTTCCTCTCTGTGACAGCAGTCCTATATTTCAAATATGTATATAGATTCAAATAAAATACGAGTTACTGCTACGTGCCCTAATCCACCTTTTCTATTTCTCATTTCAGTGTTTTTTCATATGATTCAGATATTTCCAGTAGCCCTGAAGGCACCATCTGCCTCTGCTTCCAGTCTCCATTCTGCACAGGCGCATTGAAGAGATGAGAAAAGTGAGTGAGTGTGTGTTTGTGTGTGTGTGTGTGTGTGTGTGTGTGTGTGTGTGTGTGTGTGTGTGCAAGTGAAAGCTTGAAAAATACACACTGCTGTATGCAAAATACTTTCCAGGGGACTGTTTGGTCTCTGTTAATGGATTGAGGGCCATAAACTTAAATGTTTCTTAAACAATTAAACAAATATGCTTTCTCGCTCTCCCTTTGTATTATAATACTCATAAAACAAACTTTAGTTTTTTACACTTACAATAGAACTTATTTGTAATATTTCTTTGTAGACAAATTAACTGTGGGATAAATGTATAATATATTTGTACTACAATAACTACAATAAAATTAATAGGCTACTATATAAATCAGACTATGAGCACCCCTTGCTGGAATTGAACTAAATTACACTTGTGCCACATTAAACAATGAACTGATAGCTCCATGTCCTTTAAAATGCATTAAAATATGTCCCCTAGATAAAACTAATACTACATTGAACATTACCAACATTTTGTATCCAACATAACACCCATCAGAAGACAAAATATATTAAATACCGTGTACACATAACATACCAGTAATTATATTTAAAAAATATAACTGTAATTCACTGTTGGCCCAAGAAGAGCCAACAGTGAATTACAATACAATTAGCACGGTTACGCTGTCTAGTTCACTATGGCTTTATAGATGAGTACTGAAACCACAGACCTAGACTGGCTACTTTCCAGATTTCCCTGAACAAGTAACTTATTAGAAGAATGTGGTATAACTAGGTACTTCCCAGATGTGAAGGTATGTACATCTCAAAAAGGGTGTGCTAAAAAATGTCTCTGACCAAGCAATATACAGTACGATTAAAGCGAGAAGCATGTTTATAGAATTTCACAGCATATTTTATATGAACATACAATGTTTGCATTTTGTTATGGACACTTATTCTGATTTCTACAACATTTTTATTTATGCCATGTAGCATGTTTTGTTAATGGAATATATATACAATGCCAAATCTAGGACATGGGGTACTAAACTTCCTCTATGAATTGAACAGGAAAGATCCTCAGTAGCAGTGTTAGGTTTTATTAAAACATTCCTGAATAGCTTTAACAGTAAACAGCACTTTTACATGATTTGCTTTTGTGTCTGTTACATCTCTGCAATCTACAGAACTACAGTACTAGTATTTTATCACTTTTTTGTGAAGAGAGCTAAAAAAAGAAAATGCTAGACACAGGAATGCATATAGAATATGTCATCCTCATATTATAAAGCATTACTAACCACATATGAGTGAATATGTGTACGTTGGACAGTCAGATCATGTCTGACACAGTTCCCCCAAATTATTTATGTAAAAGTTATGTACATTATCATATAGTACAATGTGAAACAGTAAATTTTGTGGACCTCAACACAGAAGACCTTGATCATGAAAAAAAATATTTAACAGGAAAAAAAAAAAAAACAATGTTACATAACATTTCATGCTACTAGATTGACTGTGATTAAAAAAGGTATGGGGAAAACCCCAACTGCAACTGCTTCCTCCAAGCATAAGGCTAAATATCAGGTTACTCATTACTTAATTCAGAGGTGATTTAAATAATATCATAACAACAACTCAGGTAAGCAAGACATTGTTTTATTATAGTATTTTACAATCAAATAGATACAAGTAATTGTATTTACAGTGTATTTTTACCTTCTTTGTGCTGGATTTGCATCTCTTTGTAGTCGTTTTGCTTTTCTTTGTAGTTGTTTTGTGAATCTGTGGTTGTTTTCGGTCTCTTTGTGCTCATTTTCAGTCTCTCTGTGGTCATTTTGTGTCCCTTTGTGCTCTTTATTTGTCTCTTTGTTGTTGTTCTGTGCCACTTCGATGTTTGGGGTCACTTTTTAGTTGTTTTGTCTCTGTGCCATCATTTTGCCTTTCTTTATGGACATTTTGCTTCTCTTTGCAGCCATTGTGCATCAGAAAGAGACTGTAGTTGTTTGATTGACTGTCCAACAAGAAATGTGAACAGTCCCTTCCTACAGTATAGAGCGCCCCTGATCCACTTAGGCCTTTGTGCACAGTTAAACACGTTGTGGTTGACCAGATCTGCATACCTTTCCATTTGTGCATTCCAAAGAAAAAATGATTTTCAAGTTAAACCTTTACTTCCTGATTCCTGCGCCAAGGTTGTCTTTCTCACTGAAGGGTTGGTTTATCTTCACTGAATCCTAACTACACCAATGACTGAGGACATACTCACAGCAGCTGATTACTGATAAACATCAAACAAGTACTTGGCTGCTGTACAAACACAGTGCCTGACAGTCTGGGAATGTATTTTTAAGCAGGAAGAGGTTAAAGAGTTAAGCGTAAGTAGAATCAATAACTGTACCATATTTTGCATAGAAATGTATTGGGCATTGATATACTTGCACATATCCACATACATCTCGTATAAAAGATGTATAGAGTTGGTTTAACATGTGTTTTTTTTAAGGTTTAACTCATGGATTATGGGCTGATTGTCCTTGTCCTCACAGGTTGGTGCCTCTTGTTTGACTATTCTGGCTTTTTGTCTTTTCAAAGTACTTACAGTTTAAGCTGTCTTCACTCAGTGTTCATTCAGTATAGGTATTTCTACCTTTGTTAGAATTGAGAAAAAAGGACAACTTGCATAAAATGACTGTTGTAGTTCAGGTTAACACTTTTTATGAATTACATAATAAATAACTCTTTTCACACTTATAACCTAACTACTTATATTCCTGAGTCGGTTTTTAGTGCAGGAATTCCAAGCACACAAAATGTTTTATATAGGGTAACTGGATTTTTAATGAGTTATAAGGTAAGACTAGTGTATGGTATAGAAAGTGAATGATGAATATTTAACACAATAGGGAGAGAGGAAAGTGTGTACTGTATGACTCCCAGTCATACACTTCCCGGGTCCTTATGCCAGTTCACGTTTTTTGCTCACCTTTATCTTGTAGTTGAATCTTCAGTGGTGAACAGTGAACACTGATTTTCTAAGACAGACTGAAACTTGATCTGGCTCAATCTGTGGCGGAGAAATTGTTGAGGCTTTAGACGTTAACTTCAGCCGGTCTGTTTGGTTCATGTTCAGTGGCGCATTCATTGTTATTGTGGCCTGAAGTTGTGATGCTGTGCAACCCAGTCAATGACATGGCAAAAATGGTGGGGAGGGAGGGTTCATTTTTCACAGTGAGTTTAACAATGAATACATTTGAGACGAAGGTATAAATTTATCACAACAGCTCTTAGTATATGAACAATATACAAAACATTTCAACTCCATAGAAAGGAGGACTGTTTTCTGTTCTTGCCACAACTGCTTGCAGATAAGAGTTCAAGAATCTCATCAATGAGGAAGAAGCTTTGTGAAACCCCGCAGCCCACTTAATGCATGGTTCCTCTTCATATTCAACCTAAAAGAACATAGAAAGTCTACATAGTTTATAAGAAAGTGAATAATTAAAAAACAATGAATATGCTTCATTTTAGGAGCACTGGTTGATGTTGCATTTGCCCAAACCCGTCAGTACTACTTTGTGAACAAGCTACTGAACTGGGATAATTCTCAGAACTACTGCAGATCTTTCTTAACTGACCTGGCCACCATAGAAAACACAGATGACGTCGATGCCATACTCAGCACTGCATCAGACTACACAGGCAAGTTCTCAATATTGGAATCATATACATGACATATGTATACATACAGTATATGTATAACCATATACTTACACAACAGTCAAGCAACAACCACGTTTTTCATAAACTTACAATAAACATGAAATTGTATTAATTATTAATTAATTTTATGATAATGTGAAATATGAGACACATAATTTAAGTGATGTTTCTGTAAAATCATTTACATTTTAGGTCTATTCAGCACTTGAATTATTTTTTATTATTTCCTGCTGTTTTGTATAATTGACATCTTTTTGAACAGGCAAGGCTTGGATAGGTCTGTATGATGGTTTGATAAACAGCTGGAGATGGTCCCTGAATGACAGCAGCTTCTATGCTGAAGGAGAGACAGAGTTTAGAAACTGGCATAATGACAGTGACCAGCCCAATAACCTTGGAGGACAACAGTACTGTGTAGAGCTTCTTAGTGGTTCATACTTGGGGAAATGGGGAGACACTAAGTGCAGCGAACAACGACACTTTGTGTGCTACAACGGTGAGTTTTCCTATGGCATAAGAACTAAACCAAATAGATCTTCTACACTGCATTTCCAGAAACATTATGCCACTTCAATGTATTTGTTAGGTGGAGGTGACATGAGGAAAAGTTTATCCCTCTGAATCCAGATCTTCCAACTTTTTTTTTCTTCCACTTTTTACTTCAGCATACATTGTAGAAAAATGAGTGTTGTCTACAAGTTCATCCTGACATTGTCTATAACTTCTCCTTATCCATGTATTTCCAGGTACAGTAAATGGCATATCATCCTTTATAAAGGTCAACAGATCTCTGAATTGGACCGATGCTCAGACATTCTGCAGGGAGAATTATGTCGATCTAGCCAGGTACGGTACTAAATCAACTTCTTACGTTTTGATCCGTTCTGTTTATGAAATCAGACTTATTCATTATCGTGACAGTTGTCTGGAATCCCAGCATGAGAATGTTCACAACACTGTGAAGGTGGTCCAAAAATACAACATGATATTTTTAAGGATTTATCTACTACTACTGTTTTTTTGTCCTCATCATTTAAATTCCTTCATTCCTGTGTCTGTTCACATGTTAATTGCTTTTCTTATAAGTTATGTATTTTTCATTTTTATTTTTATGACTCTAGGGAACTTGGAATTAGTCATGCAGTATGATTGTGAATGTGATAATTACAACCAGTATTGGCAGTAGAAGTATCGTAGCGGTAGTACGCTGTGTTAGCAGCTAAGTGGTTAGCACTACAGCAAGTAGGTCTATCAGTGCCCTGACTTAGAACTGGAGTTGGCCCACTGGTCCTATAAACATATAAATGTTTAACTGTAAGATAACTATTGTTGCACTGATTTTAAGTATTTTAAGTAGTGTTAGTTAAATGGCTACATTGTCCAAATCATCTAAATCACCAAATCAGTCACATATCGCATTTTATTATATTTCCAAACAATCAACAACAATGTATTGCATTGTGCATCGGATTGTTATACTCAACACTGATATGCATATGCTGCTGTGTCTCTCTCAGCATACGAAATCAGACAGAAAATGACATTATCACAAACCTGGCAAATGGGGAATTTGTGTGGATCGGTCTTCACCGGGAAAAAGTTTGGTCTGATGGAAGCACCTCTCTATTTCGACACTGGGCTGCCGGGCAACCAAACTCTGGCAACCTTACGTGTGTCACCACTTTGTTCAATGACTCAGGACAGTGGTCAACTGAAAAATGCTTCACGAGATTGCCATTCATCTGTTACACAACACGTAATGCATTTTATTTCTATATTCCACATACTGTATAGAGAGAAGTTCATTGCTGAATAAATAGAATATATTAGCAAATGCAGTATATTTCATGATATATATTAGGAATATATATATATTAGCAAATAGATTGTGATATCTTTTTGCTAATACATTTTACCGTTAAGATCTGATTCATATGTGTACATGAACAACTCTATTGAAGATGAAGGAGAAGCAGAAGAAAAAACATTCTGCATTTTATACTATAAAGCAAATTGAAAGTTCACTTGGAGTCCAAGTGTGTAACATTTAGGAGTATATATTGTAAAAAAAAAAGGTAATATATGTATTCATTAGTGTATATTCACCTGAAAATAAGAATAGTTATGTTGAATGAGCCTTTTAAAGACGCCACGGGCCATCTAACCCTAACCCTAACCCATCGTCAAAAGGGACCAACATAACCCTGGCATTAGATAAGGGGGTTCGCATTTGTCGAGCGTCCACCCTAGTTTCCCTTGCGCTTTGAAAGGCAGAGTGAAGTTAGGGAGTTGCTGTAATCTGTAACTACACCGCTAGATTGCACTGAAGTTTTCAGCACTGGACCATTAAGATAGAAACTGGATTCTTGCTTAACTTTTGGACTAATGGCTATCATGAGAATAAAATTGTTTGATCTGAGAAAGTATGAAGTAGAAGTATGAACCTACAGTACAATGATGAATTGATCAATTAATTTAAAGGCGTGGGTGAATCATCATTGGGAATATTGATTATGTCAAACAGGTTATATGAAAATACATCATATGGGTTGCATCAAACAACTGATGAGTTCAAATGATTCTCACCATTGTATTTAGCTTCTGTCAACAGGACAGAATGAGACCAGTATCACTTTGCAGTGGAATAACGTGAACAACAGCACCAGCTTTATTCTCCAGTTTAATGGCACAGAGATAAACATCAGTGCACCAAATGGAGATGGACCAGTAACTCACACAGTCTCATCTCTCACTGCTGGAACTAGATACACTTTCACTCTCTTGTCTGTGTTTGAGAACAACAGAAGCAGTGGAATAACCACTACTGCAGTCACTGGTAAGATGTTTCATTTCATTGATGCATTTTGAATCAGGAATAACTGTATTGTTCTGTCACCTTAGTATATATGACAGCATTCTATATCATTAAATATATGTTTGAATGCCCAGGGGATTATTGAAATAGCTATATTGAATGCTTATAAAATGAAGTTACAATGTTTGGGCTGCCAGTAGCCACTCAATTTCACACAACAGCAGCCATAGCACTTATAAACAGCAACTGCACTGCTCTTTTTTCTTTTCTCAGCTCCTCCAAACACAGACAGCTTCACATCAACAGGGCAAAATGAGACCAGTATCACTCTGCAGTGGAATAAAGTGAACAACAACACCAGCTTTATTCTCCAGTTTAATGGCACAGAGATAAACATCAGTGCACCAGATGGAGATGGACCAGTAACTCACACAGTCTCATCTCTCACTGCTGGAACTAGATACACATTCACTCTCTTGTCTGTGTTTGAGAACGTCAGAAGCAGTGGAACAACCACTACTGCAGTCACTGGTAAGATGTTTAACTTTGTTACTGTGCAGTATTATTTTTCTTTTATATAAAGTGTGATCCTTGCATTGACAAACACAAGTCTTTCAATATGAACGGCTGTTTCACTTTGTGTTCCTAATACTCAGCGTTACTTTTCATGTTGGAATGCAAAACGGATCATATTAACAGCCAGAGGGAGTGACTCGATCAACTCATTCACGACTCTTTTTCCTTTCCCAGCTCCTCTGAATGCAGACAGCTTCACATCAACAGGACAGAATGAGACCAGTATCACTCTGCAGTGGAATAAAGTGAACAACGACACTAGCTTTATTCTCCAGTTTAATGGCACAGAGATAAACATCAGTGCACCAGATGGAGATGGACCAGTAACTCACACAGTCTCATCTCTCACTGCTGGAACTAGATACGCATTCACTCTCTTGTCTGTGTTTGAGAACATCAGAAGTACTGGAACAACCATTATTGCAGTCACTGGTAAGATGTCTGACTTCATTAATGCATTTTGAACCAGGAATAGCTGTATTGTTCTGTTAGCTGTGTATATATGACAGTATTCTACATTTTAAAATACATGTTTAAATACCTAGGGTATTAGGTTAATGTTTCTATTGAATGGTCACAAAGTTGCGATGTTGGAGCTGCCAGTAGACATTCAGTTCCAGACAGTAGTAGCCATTGCAGTTGTCAACAACAATTGCAGGTACCAACAGTGAGCTGTTAGCAGCAGCAATGACCTAAAACAAACAACATGGGGTGGAAAGCTGGATGGTGTGGTTTTCACCTTGACATGAGGGAAGCTGCTGGACACCAAACAGTTGTAACTAGCAGGTGTAGTAAAGATGAAGAATCCACAAATGTATGGAGGAGGCATTTAAATATCCAACTCTGCTGTATGAACTTGTGTTAGAGGTGTATTAAGCATGTGGGGATCACTTATCGTGATTTCCTGTTCTTCCCTGGCACAATGCTACTGCAATGCAAGAGGAAAATGGTGCAGCTTAAACACCTCAGACGATCCCATCTTGATGAAATCTGTCACTGCTGTGCTTTTCTTTCTCAGCTCCTCCAAACGCTGAAAGCTTCACATCAACAGGACAGAATGAGACCAGTATCACTCTGCAGTGGAATAAAGTGAACAACACCAGCTTTATTCTCCAGTTTAATGGTACAGAGATAAACATCAGTGCACCAGATGGAGATGGACCAGTAACTCACACAGTCTCATCTCTCACTGCTGGAACTAGATACACATTCACTCTCTTGTCTGTGTTTGAGAACGTCAGAAGCAGTGGAACAACCACTACTGCAGTCACTGGTAAAATGTTTAACTTTGTTACTGTGCAGTATTATTTTTCTTTTATATAAAGTGTGATCCTTGCATTGACAAACACAAGTCTTTCAATATGAACGGCTGTTTCACTTTGTGTTCCTAATACTCAGCGTTACTTTTCATGTTGGAATGGAAAACGGATCATATTAACAGCCAGAGGGAGTGACTCGATCAACTCATTCACGACTCCTTTTCCTTTCCCAGCTCCTCTGAATGCAGACAGCTTCATATCAACAGGACAGAATGAGACCAGTATCACTCTGCAGTGGAATAAAGTGAACAACGACACCAGCTTTATTCTCCAGTTTAATGGCACAGAGATAAACATCAGTGCACCAGATGGAGATGGACCAGTAACTCACACAGTCTCATCTCTCACTGCTGGAACTAGACACGCATTCACTCTCTTGTCTGTGTTTGAGACCATCAGAAGTAGTGGAACAACCACTACTGCAGTCACTGGTGAGATATGTTCACTATTTTAATGTGTTTTGAACTATGATTCACAACTATGTTTTGGTAATAAACAGCCAAAGGGAACATAGATTATTTCATAGGCAGTATTGTTTTTATAAATGCTTTCCAACCAACTTTAGGAACTAACAGGGAGATTGCTTATTTTTACACGTAATCCTTTTAGATAAATCCATTCACTTTTGTTTTTCTTTCTCAGCTCCTCCAAACACAGACAGCTTGATATCAACAGGACAGAATGAGACCAGTATCACTCTCCAGTGGAATAAAGTGAACAACAACACCAGCTTTATTCTCCAGTTTAATGGCACAGAGATAAACATCAGTGCACCAGATGGAGATGGACCAGTAACTCACACAGTCTCATCTCTCACTGCTGGAACTAGATACACTTTCACTCTCTTGTCTGTGTTTGAGAACGTCAGAAGCAGTGGAACAACCACTACTGCAGTCACTGGTAAAATGTGTTAACTTTGTTAATGTGTAGTATTATTAAAATTTCTTTTGATATAAAGTGTGATCCTTGCATTGACAAACACAAGTCTTTCAATATGAACGGCTGTTTCACTTTGTGTTCCTAACAGTCAGCGTTACTTTTCATGTTGGAATGGAAAACGGATCATATTAACAGCCAGAGGGAGTGACTCGATCAACTCATTCACAACTCTTTTTCCTTTCCCAGCTCCTCTGAATACAGACAGCTTCACATCAACAGGACAGAATGAGACCAGTATCACTCTGCAGTGGAATAAAGTGAACAACGACACCAGCTTTATTCTCCAGTTTAATGGCACAGAGATAAACATCAGTGCACCAGATGGAGATGGACCAGTAACTCACACAGTCTCATCTCTCACTGCTGGAACTAGATACACATTCACTCTCTTGTCTGTGTTTGAGACCATCAGAAGTAGTGGAACAACCATTACTGCAGTCACTGGTGAGATATGTTCACTATTTTAATGTATTTTTAACTATGATCCACAACTATCTTTTGGTAATAAACAGCCAAAGGGAACATAGATTATTTCATAGGCAGTATTGTTTTTATAAATGCTTTCCAACCAACTTTAGGTACTAACAGGGAGATTGCTTATTTTTAGACGTAATCTTTTTAGATAAATCCATTCACTTTTGTTTTTCTTTCTCAGCTCCTCCAAACACAGACAGCTTGATATCAACAGGACAGAATGAGACCAGTATCACTCTGCAGTGGAATAAAGTGAACAACGACACCAGCTTTATTCTCCAGTTTAATGGCACAGAGATAAACATCAGTGCACCAGATGGAGATGGACCAGTAACTCACACAGTCTCATCTCTCACTGCTGGAACTAGATACGCATTCACTCTCTTGTCTGTGTTTGAGACCATCAGAAGTAGTGGAACAACCATTACTGCAGTTACTTGTGAGATATGTTCACTATTTTAATGTATTTTGAACTATGATTCACAACTATCTTTTGGTTATAAACAGCCAAAGGGAACATAGATTATTTCATAGGCAGTATTGTTTTTATAAATGCTTTCCAACCAATTTTAGGTACTAACAGGGAGATTGCTTATTTTTAGATGTGAACTTTTTAGATAAATCCATTCACTTTTATTTTTCTTTCTCAGCTCCTCCAAACGCTGAAAGCTTGATATCAACAGGACAGAATGAGACCAGTATCACTCTGCAGTGGAATAAAGTGAACAACAACACCAGCTTTATTCTCCAGTTTAATGGCACAGAGATAAACATCAGTGCACCAGATGGAGATGGACCAGTAACTCACACAGTCTCATCTCTCACTGCTGGAACTAGATACACATTCACTCTCTTGTCTGTGTTTGAGACCATCAGAAGTAGTGGAACAACCATTACTGCAGTCACTGGTGAGATATGTTCACTATTTTAATGTATTTTGAACTATGATTCACAACTATCTTTTGGTTATAAACAGCCAAAGGGAACATAGATTATTTCATAGGCAGTATTGTTTTTATAAATGCTTTCCAACCAACTTTAGGTACTAACAGGGAGATTGCTTATTTTTAGATGTGAACTTTTTAGATAAATCCATTCACTTTTATTTTTCTTTCTCAGCTCCTCCAAACGCTGAAAGCTTGATATCAACAGGACAGAATGAGACCAGTATCACTTTCCAGTGGAATAAAGTGAACAACAACACCAGCTTTATTCTCCAGTTTAATGGCACAGAGATAAACATCAGTGCACCAGATGGAGATGGACCAGTAACTCACACAGTCTCATCTCTCACTGCTGGAACTAGATACACATTCACTCTCTTGTCTGTGTTTGAGAACATCAGAAGCAGAAGAACAACCACTACTGCAGTCACTGGTAAGATGTTTAACTTTGTTACTGTGTAGTATTATTTTTCTTTTATATAAAGTGTGGTCCTTGCATTGACAAACACAAGTCTTTCAGTATGAACGGCTGTTTCACTTTGTGTTCCTAATACTCAGCGTTACTTTTCATGTTGGAATGCAAAACGGATCATATTAACAGCTAGAGGGAGTGACTCGATCAACTCATTCACAACTCTTTTTCCTTTCCCAGCTCCTCTGAATGCAGACAGCTTCACATCAACAGGACAGAATGAGACCAGTATCACTCTGCAGTGGAATAAAGTGAACAACGACACCAGCTTTATTCTCCAGTTTAATGGCACAGAGATGAACATCAGTGCACCAGATGGAGATGGACCAGTAACTCACACAGTCTCATCTCTCACTGCTGGAACTAGATACACATTCACTCTCTTGTCTGTGTTTGAGAACATCAGAAGTAGTGGAACAACCATTACTGCAGTTACTTGTGAGATATGTTCACTATTTTAATGTATTTTGAACTATGATCCACAACTATCTTTTGGTAATAAACAGCCAAAGGGAACATAGATTATTTCATAGGCAGTATTGTTTTTATAAATGCTTTCCAACCAACTTTAGGTACTAACAGGGAGATTGCTTATTTTTAGATGTAATATTTTTAAATAAATCCATTCACTTTTATTTTTCTTTCTCAGCTCCTCTAAATGCTGACAGCTTCATATCAACAGGACAGAATGAGACCAGTATCACTCTCCAGTGGAATAAAGTGAACAACAACACCAGCTTTATTCTCCAGTTTAATGGCACAGAGATAAACATCAGTGCACCAGATGGAGATGGACCAGTAACTCACACAGTCTCATCTCTCACTGCTGGAACTAGATATGCATTCACTCTCTTGTCTGTGTTTGAGAACATCAGAAGCAGTGGAACAACCACTACTGCAGTCACTGGTAAGATATGTTCACTATTTTAATGTATTTTGAACTATGATTAACAACTATCTTTTGGTTATAAACAGCCAAAGGGAACATAGATTATTTCATAGGCAGTATTTTTTTTATAAATGCTTTCCAACCAACTTTATTTTCTTAGAGGAACATTGCTTATTTTTAGATGTAATCTTTTTAGATAAATCCATTCACTTTTATTTTTCTTTCTCAGCTCCTCCAAATGCTGAAAGCTTCACATCAACAGGACAGAATGAGACCAGTATCACTCTGCAGTGGAATAAAGTGAACAACAACACCAGCTTTATTCTCCAGTTTAATGGCACAGAGATAAACATCAGTGCACCAGATGGAGATGGACCAGTAACTCACACAGTCTCATCTCTCACTGCTGGAACTAGATACACATTCACTCTCTTGTCTGTGTTTGAGAACATCAGAAGCAGTGGAACAACCACTACTGCAGTCACTGGTAAGATGTTTAACTTTGTTACTGTGTAGTATTATTTTTCTTTTATATAAAGTGTGATCCTTGCATTGACAAACACAAGTCTTTTAATATTAACGGCTGTTTCACTTTGTGTTCCTAATACTCAGCGTTACTTTTCATGTTGGAATGCAAAACGGATCATATTAACAGCCAGAGGGAGTGACTCGATCAACTCATTCACAACTCTTTTTCCTTTCCCAGCTCCTCTGAATGCAGACAGCTTCACATCAACAGGACAGAATGAGACCAGTATCACTCTGCAGTGGAATAAAGTGAACAACGACACCAGCTTTATTCTCCAGTTTAATGGCACAGAGATAAACATCAGTGCACCAGATGGAGATGGACCAGTAACTCACACAGTCTCATCTCTCACTGCTGGAACTAGATATGCATTCACTCTCTTGTCTGTGTTTGAGACCATCAGAAGTAGTGGAACAACCATTACTGCAGTCACTGGTGAGATATGTTCACTATTTTAATGTATTTTGAACTATGATTCACAACTATCTTTTGGTAATAAACAGCCAAAGGGAACATAGATTATTTCATAGGCAGTATTGTTTTTATAAATGCTTTCCAACCAACTTTAGGTACTAACAGGGAGATTGCTTATTTTTAGATGTAATATTTTTAAATAAATCCATTCACTTTTATTTTTCTTTCTCAGCTCCTCCAAACGCTGAAAGCTTGATATCAACAGGACAGAATGAGACCAGTATCACTCTGCAGTGGAATAAAGTGAACAACAACACCAGCTTTATTCTCCAGTTTAATGGCACAGAGATAGACGTCAGTGCACCAGATGGAGATGGACCAGTAACTCACACAGTCTCATCTCTCACTGCTGGAACTAGATACACATTCACTCTCTTGTCTGTGTTTGAGAACATCAGAAGCAGTGGAACAACCACTACTGCAGTCACTGGTAAAATGTTTAACTTTGTTACTGTGTAGTATTATTTTTCTTTTATATAAAGTGTGATCCTTGCATTGACAAACACAAGTCTTTCAATATGAACGGCTGTTTCACTTTGTGTTCCTAACAGTCAGCGTTACTTTTCATGTTGGAATGGAAAACGGATCATATTAACAGCCAGAGGGAGTGACTCGATCAACTCATTCACAACTCTTTTTCCTTTCCCAGCTCCTCTGAATACAGACAGCTTCACATCAACAGGACAGAATGAGACCAGTATCACTCTGCAGTGGAATAAAGTGAACAACAACACCAGCTTTATTCTCCAGTTTAATGGCACAGAGATGAACATCAGTGCACCAGATGGAGATGGACCAGTAACTCACACAGTCTCATCTCTCACTGCTGGAACTAGATACACATTCACTCTCTTGTCTGTGTTTGAGACCATCAGAAGTAGTGGAACAACCATTACTGCAGTCACTGGTGAGATATGTTCACTATTTTAATGTATTTTGAACTATGATTCACAACTATCTTTTGGTAATAAACAGCCAAAGGGAACATAGATTATTTCATAGGCAGTATTGTTTTTATAAATGCTTTCCAACCAACTTTAGGTACTAACAGGGAGATTGCTTATTTTTAGATGTAATATTTTTAAATAAATCCATTCACTTTTATTTTTCTTTCTCAGCTCCTCCAAACGCTGAAAGCTTGATATCAACAGGACAGAATGAGACCAGTATCACTCTGCAGTGGAATAAAGTGAACAACAACACCAGCTTTATTCTCCAGTTTAATGGCACAGAGATAAACATCAGTGCACCAGATGGAGATGGACCAGTAACTCACACAGTCTCATCTCTCACTGCTGGAACTAGATACACATTCACTCTCTTGTCTGTGTTTGAGAACATCAGAAGCAGTGGAACAACCATTACTGCAGTCACTGGTGAGATATGTTCACTATTTTAATGTATTTTGAACTATGATTCACAACTATCTTTTGGTTATAAACAGCCAAAGGGAACATAGATTATTTCATAGGCAGTATTGTTTTTATAAATGCTTTCCAACCAATTTTAGGTACTAACAGGGAGATTGCTTATTTTTAGATGTGAACTTTTTAGATAAATCCATTCACTTTTATTTTTCTTTCTCAGCTCCTCCAAACGCTGAAAGCTTGATATCAACAGGACAGAATGAGACCAGTATCACTCTGCAGTGGAATAAAGTGAACAACAACACCAGCTTTATTCTCCAGTTTAATGGCACAGAGATAAACATCAGTGCACCAGATGGAGATGGACCAGTAACTCACACAGTCTCATCTCTCACTGCTGGAACTAGATACACATTCACTCTCTTGTCTGTGTTTGAGAACATCAGAAGCAGTGGAACAACCACTACTGCAGTCACTGGTAAGATGTTTAACTTTGTTACTGTGTAGTATTATTTTTCTTTTATATAAAGTGTGGTCCTTGCATTGACAAACACAAGTCTTTCAATATGAACGGCTGTTTCACTTTGTGTTCCTAATACTCAGCGTTACTTTTCATGTTGGAATGCAAAACGGATCATATTAACAGCCAGAGGGAGTGACTCGATCAACTTATTCACTACTCCTTTTCCTTTCCCAGCTCCTCTGAATGCAGACAGCTTCATATCAACAGGACAGAATGAGACCAGTATCACTCTGCAGTGGAATAAAGTGAACAACGACACCAGCTTTATTCTCCAGTTTAATGGCACAGAGATGAACATCAGTGCACCAGATGGAGATGGACCAGTAACTCACACAGTCTCATCTCTCACTGCTGGAACTAGATACACATTCACTCTCTTGTCTGTGTTTGAGAACATCAGAAGTAGTGGAACAACCATTACTGCAGTCACTGGTGAGATATGTTCACTATTTTAATGTATTTTGAACTATGATTCACAACTATCTTTTGGTTATAAACAGCCAAAGGGAACATAGATTATTTCATAGGCAGTATTGTTTTTTATAAATGCTTTCCAACCAACTTTAGGTACTAAGAGGAAGATTGCTTATTTTTAGATGTAATCTTTTTAGATAAATCCATTCACTTTTATTTTTCTTTCTCAGCTCCTCCAAACGCTGAAAGCTTCACATCAGCAGCACAGAATGAGACCAGTATCACTTTCCAGTGGAATAAAGTGAACAACAACACCAGCTTTATTCTCCAGTTTAATGGCACAGAGATGAACATCAGTGCACCAGATGGAGATGGACCAGTAACTCACACAGTCTCATCTCTCACTGCTGGAACTAGATACACATTCACTCTCTTGTCTGTGTTTGAGACCATCAGAAGTAGTGGAACAACCATTACTGCAGTTACTTGTGAGATATGTTCACTATTTTAATGTATTTTGAACTATGATTCACAACTATCTTTTGGTAATAAACAGCCAAAGGGAACATAGATTATATCATAGGCAGTATTGTTTTTTATAAATGCTTTCCAACCAACTTTAGGTACTAACAGGGAGATTGCTTATTTTTAGATGTAATATTTTTAAATAAATCCATTCACTTTTATTTTTCTTTCTCAGCTCCTCCAAACGCTGAAAGCTTGATATCAACAGGACAGAATGAGACCAGTATCACTCTGCAGTGGAATAAAGTGAACAACAACACCAGCTTTATTCTCCAGTTTAATGGCACAGAGATAAACATCAGTGCACCAGATGGAGATGGACCAGTAACTCACACAGTCTCATCTCTCACTGCTGGAACTAGATACACATTCACTCTCTTGTCTGTGTTTGAGAACATCAGAAGCAGTGGAACAACCACTACTGCAGTCACTGGTAAGATGTTTAACTTTGTTACTGTGTAGTATTATTTTTCTTTTATATAAAGTGTGGTCCTTGCATTGACAAACACAAGTCTTTCAATATGAACGGCTGTTTCACTTTGTGTTCCTAATACTCAGCGTTACTTTTCATGTTGGAATGCAAAACGGATCATATTAACAGAAAGAGGGAGTGACTTGATCAACTCATTCACGACTCTATTTCCTTTCCCAGCTCCTCTGAATGCAGACAGTTTCATATCAACAGGACAGAATGAGACCAGTATCACTCTGCAGTGGAATAAAGTGAACAACAACACCAGCTTTATTCTCCAGTTTAATGGCACAGAGATAAACATCAGTGCACCAGATGGAGATGGACCAGTAACTCACACAGTCTCATCTCTCACTGCTGGAACTAGATACACTTTCACTCTCTTGTCTGTGTTTGAGAACATCAGAAGCAGTGGAACAACCACTACTGCAGTCACTGGTAAGATGTGTTCACTTTGTTACTGTGCAGTATTATTGTTCTTTTATATACAAGTGGATCCTTTGCATTGACAAACACAAGTCTTTCAATATGAACGGCTGTTTCACTTAATGCTGTTCCTAACAGTCAGTTACTTTTCATGTTGGAATGGAAAACGGATCATATTAACAGCCAGAGGGAGTGACTTTTGATCAACTCATTCACAACTATTTTTCCTTTCCCAGCTCCTCTGAATACAGACAGCTTCACATCAACAGGACAGAATGAGACCAGTATCACTCTGCAGTGGAATAAAGTGAACAACAACACCAGCTTTATTCTCCAGTTTAATGGCACAGAGATAAACATCAGTGCACCAGATGGAGATGGACCAGTAACTCACACAGTCTCATCTCTCACTGCTGGAACTAGATACACATTCACTCTCTTGTCTGTGTTTGAGACCATCAGAAGTAGTGGAACAACCATTACTGCAGTCACTGGTGAGATATGTTCACTATTTTAATGTATTTTGAACTATGATTCACAACTATCTTTTGGTAATAAACAGCCAAAGGGAACATAGATTATTTCATAGGCAGTATTGTTTTTATAAATGCTTTCCAACCAACTTTAGGTACTAACAGGGAGATTGCTTATTTTTAGATGTAATATTTTTAAATAAATCCATTCACTTTTATTTTTCTTTCTCAGCTCCTCCAAACGCTGAAAGCTTGATATCAACAGGACAGAATGAGACCAGTATCACTCTGCAGTGGAATAAAGTGAACAACAACACCAGCTTTATTCTCCAGTTTAATGGCACAGAGATAAACATCAGTGCACCAGATGGAGATGGACCAGTAACTCACACAGTCTCATCTCTCACTGCTGGAACTAGATACACATTCACTCTCTTGTCTGTGTTTGAGAACATCAGAAACAGTGGAACAACCACTACTGCAGTCACTGGTAAAATGTTTAACTTTGTTACTGTGTAGTATTATTTTTCTTTTATATAAAGTGTGGTCCTTGCATTGACAAAAACAAGTCTTTCAGTATGAACGGCTGTTTCACTTTGTGTTCCTAATACTCAGCGTTACTTTTCATGTTGGAATGCAAAACGGATCATATTAACAGCCAGAGGGAGTGACTCGATCAACTTATTCACTACTCCTTTTCCTTTCCCAGCTCCTCTGAATGCAGACAGCTTCATATCAACAGGACAGAATGAGACCAGTATCACTCTGCAGTGGAATAAAGTGAACAACAAAACCAGCTTTATTCTCCAGTTTAATGGCACAGAGATGAACATCAGTGCACCAGATGGAGATGGACCAGTAACTCACACAGTCTCATCTCTCACTGCTGGAACTAGATATGCATTCACTCTCTTGTCTGTGTTTGAGACCATCAGAAGTAGTGGAACAACCATTACTGCAGTTACTTGTGAGATATGTTCACTATTTTAATGTATTTTGAACTATGATTCACAACTATCTTTTGGTAATAAACAGCCAAAGGGAACATAGATTATTTCATAGGCAGTATTGTTTTTATAAATGCTTTCCAACCAACTTTAGGTACTAACAGGGAGATTGCTTATTTTTAGATGTAATATTTTTAAATAAATCCATTCACTTTTATTTTTCTTTCTCAGCTCCTCTGAATGCAGACAGTTTCATATCAACAGGACAGAATGAGACCAGTATCACTCTCCAGTGGAATAAAGTGAACAACAAGACCAGCTTTATTCTCCAGTTTAATGGCACAGAGATGAACATCAGTGCACCAGATGGAGGTGGACCAGTAACTCACACAGTCTCATCTCTCACTGCTGGAACAAGATACACTTTCACTCTCTTGTCTGTGTTTGAGAACATCAGAAGCAGTGGAACAACCATTACTGCAGTCACTGGTAAGATATGTTCACTATTTTAATGTATTCTGAACTATGATTAACAACTATCTTTTGGTTATAAACAGCCAAAGGGAACATAGATTATTTCATAGGCAGTATTGTTTTTTATAAATGCTTTCCAACCAACTTTAGGTACTTAGAGGAACATTGCTTATTTTTAGATGTAATCTTTTTAGATAAATCCATTCACTTTTATTTTTCTTTCTCAGCTCCTGCAAACGCTGAAAGCTTCACATCAACAGCACAGAATGAGACCAGTATCACTCTGCAGTGGAATAAAGTGAACAACAACACCAGCTTTATTCTCCAGTTTAATGGCACAGAGATGAACATCAGTGCACCAGATGGAGATGGACCAGTAACTCACACAGTCTCATCTCTCACTGCTGGAACTAGACACGCATTCACTCTCTTGTCTGTGTTTGAGACCATCAGAAGTAGTGGAACAACCACTACTGCAGTCACTGGTGAGATATGTTCACTATTTTAATGTGTTTTGAACTATGATTCACAACTATCTTTTGGTAATAAACAGCCAAAGGGAACATAGATTATTTCATAGGCAGTATTGTTTTTATAAATGCTTTCCAACCAACTTTAGGTACTAACAGGGAGATTACTTATTTTTAGATGTAATATTTTTAAATAAATCCATTCACTTTTATTTTTCTTTCTCAGCTCCTCCAAACGCTGAAAGCTTGATATCAACAGGACAGAATGAGACCAGTATCACTCTGCAGTGGAATAAAGTGAACAACAACACCAGCTTTATTCTCCAGTTTAATGGCACAGAGATAAACATCAGTGCACCAGATGGAGATGGACCAGTAACTCACACAGTCTCATCTCTCACTGCTGGAACTAGATACACATTCACTCTCTTGTCTGTGTTTGAGAACATCAGAAGCAGTGGAACAACCACTACTGCAGTCACTGGTAAGATGTTTAACTTTGTTACTGTGCAGTATTATTTTTCTTTTATATAAAGTGTGGTCCTTGCATTGACAAACACAAGTCTTTCAATATGAACGGCTGTTTCACTTTGTGTTCCTAATACTCAGATTTACTTTTCATGTTGGAATGCAAAACGGATCATATTAACAGCCAGAGGGAGTGACTTGATCAACTCATTCACGACTCTTTTTCCTTTCCCAGCTCCTCTGAATACAGACAGCTTCACATCAACAGGACAGAATGAGACCAGTATCACTCTGCAGTGGAATAAAGTGAACAACGACACCAGCTTTATTCTCCAGTTTAATGGCACAGAGATAAACATCAGTGCACCAGATGGAGATGGACCAGTAACTCACACAGTCTCATCTCTCACTGCTGGAACTAGATACACTTTCACTCTCTTGTCTGTGTTTGAGAACATCAGAAGTAGTGGAACAACCATTACTGCAGTCACTGGTGAGATATGTTCACTATTTTAATGTATTTTGAACTATGATTCACAACTATCTTTTGGTTATAAACAGCCAAAGGGAACATAGATTATTTCATAGGCAGTATTGTTTTTATAAATGCTTTCCAACCAACTTTAGGAACTAACAGGGAGATTGCTTATTTTTACACGTAATCCTTTTAGATAAATCTATTCACTTTTGTTTTTCTTTCTCAGCTCCTCCAAACACAGACAGCTTGATATCAACAGGACAGAATGAGACCAGTATCACTCTCCAGTGGAATAAAGTGAACAACAACACCAGCTTTATTCTCCAGTTTAATGGCACAGAGATAAACATCAGTGCACCAGATGGAGATGGACCAGTAACTCACACAGTCTCATCTCTCACTGCTGGAACTAGATACACTTTCACTCTCTTGTCTGTGTTTGAGAACATCAGAAGCAGTGGAACAACCATTACTGCAGTCACTGGTAAGATATGTTCACTATTTTAATGTATTTTGACCGATGCTTAACAACTATCTTTTGGATATAAACAGCCAAAGGGAACATAGATTATTTCATAGGCAGTATTTTTTTTTTAGAAATGCTTTCCAACCAACTTTATTTTCTTAGAGGAACATTGCTTATTTTTAGATGTAATCTTTTTAGATAAATCCATTCACTTTTATTTTTCTTTCTCAGCTCCTCCAAATGCTGAAAGCTTCACATCAACAGGACAGAATGAGACCAGTATCACTCTCCAGTGGAATAAAGTGAACAACAACACCAGCTTTATTCTCCAGTTTAATGGCACAGAGATAAACATCAGTGCACCAGATGGAGATGGACCAGTAACTCACACAGTCTCATCTCTCACTGCTGGAACTAGATACACATTCACTCTCTTGTCTGTGTTTGAGAACATCAGAAGTAGTGGAACAACCATTACTGCAGTCACTGGTGAGATATGTTCACTATTTTAATGTATTTTGAACTATGATTCACAACTATCTTTTGGTTATAAACAGCCAAAGGGAACATAGATTATTTCATAGGCAGTATTGTTTTTTATAAATGCTTTCCAACCAACTTTAGGTACTAACAGGGAGATTGCTTATTTTTAGATGTGAACTTTTTAGATAAATCCATTCACTTTTATTTTTCTTTCTCAGCTCCTCCAAACGCTGAAAGCTTGATATCAACAGGACAGAATGAGACCAGTATCACTTTCCAGTGGAATAAAGTGAACAACAACACCAGCTTTATTCTCCAGTTTAATGGCACAGAGATAAACATCAGTGCACCAGATGGAGATGGACCAGTAACTCACACAGTCTCATCTCTCACTGCTCGAACTAGATACACTTTCACTCTCTTGTCTGTGTTTGAGACCATCAGAAGCAGTGGAACAACCACTACTGCAGTCACTGGTAAAATGTTTAACTTTGTTACAGTGTAGTATTATTTTTCTTTTATATAAAGTGTGATCCTTGCATTGACAAACACAAGTCTTTCAATATGAACGGCTGTTTCACTTTCTGTTCCTAACAGTCAGCGTTACTTTTCATGTTGGAATGCAAAACGGATCATATTAACAGCCAGAGGGAGTGACTCGATCAACTCATTCACGACTCCTTTTCCTTTCCCAGCTCCTCTGAATGCAGACAGCTTCATATCAACAGGACAGGATGAGACCAGTATCACTCTGCAGTGGAATAAAGTGAACAACGACACCAGCTTTATTCTCCAGTTTAATGGCACAGAGATAAACATCAGTGCACCAGATGGAGATGGACCAGTAACTCACACAGTCTCATCTCTCACTGCTGGAACTAGATACGCATTCACTCTCTTGTCTGTGTTTGAGAACGTCAGAAGCAGTGGAACAACCACTACTGCAGTCACTGGTGAGATATGTTCACTATTTTAATGTATTTTGAACTATGCTTAACAACTATCTTTTGGTTGTCAACAGCCAAAGGGAACATCGATTATTTCACAGGCAGTATTTTTTTTTTGTAAATGCTCACCAACCAACTTTAAGTACTTAGAGGAACATGCTTATTTTTAGAAGTAATCTTTTTAGATAAATTCATTCACTTTTGTTTTTCTTTCTCAGCTCCTCCAAACAAAGACAGCTTGATATCAACAGGACAGAATGAGACCAGTATCACTCTGCAGTGGAATAAAGTGAACAACAACACCAGCTTTATTCTCCAGTTTAATGGCACAGAGATAAACATCAGTGCACCAGATGGAGATGGACCAGTAACTCACACAGTCTCATCTCTCACTGCTGGAACTAGATACACTTTCACTCTCTTGTCTGTGTTTGAGAACGTCAGAAGCAGTGGAACAACCATTACTGCAGTCACTGGTAAGATGTCTGATGGCATTAATGCATTTTGAACCAGGAATAGCTGTATTGTTCTGTTAGCTGTGTATATATGACAGTATTCTACATTTTAAAATACATGTTTAAATACCTAGGGTATTAGGTTAATTTTTCTATTGAATGGTCACAAAGTTGCAATGTTGGAGCTGCCAGTAGACATTCAGTTCCAGACAGTAGTAGCCATTGCAGTTGTCAACAACAATTGCAGGTACCAACAGTGAGCTGTTAGCAGCAGCAATGACCTAAAACAAACAACATGGGGTGGAAAGCTGGATGGTGTGGTTTTCACCTTGACATGAGGGAAGCTGCTGGACACCAAAAAGTTGTAACTAGCAGGTGTAGTAAAGATGAAGAATCCACAAATGTATGGAGGAGGCATTTAAATATCCAACTCTGCTGTATGAACTTGTGTTAGAGGTGTATTAAGCATGTGGGGATCACTTATCGTGACTTCCTGTTCTTCCCTGGTGCAATGCTACTGCAATGCAAAAGGAAAATGGTGCAGCTTAAACACCTCAGATGATCCCATCTTTATGAAATCTGTCACTGCTGTGCTTTTCTTTCTCAGCTCCTCCAAACACTGACAGCTTCACATCAACAGGACAGAATGAGACCAGTATCACTCTGCAGTGGAATAAAGTGAACAACAACACCAGCTTTATTCTCCAGTTTAATGGCACAGAGATAAACATCAGTGCACCAGATGGAGATGGACCAGTAACTCACACAGTCTCATCTCTCACTGCTGGAACTAGATACACTTTCACTCTCTTGTCTGTGTTTGAGAACGTCAGAAGTAGTGGAACAACCACACGCAGTCACGAAAATAACCATACGTCGTAAAAACAGTGGTAATATAACAGTACCACTGACCTGCAGTCAAATTCTTGGTATAGATGTTTAACTTTGTTACTGTGTAAAGTATCTATTTTTGCTTTTATATAAAGTGTGATCCTTGCATTGACAAAAACAAGTCTTTCAATATTAACGGCTGTTTCACTTTGTGTTCCTAATACTCAGCGTAACTTTTCATGTTGGAATGCAAAACGGATCATATTAACAGCTAGAGGGAGTGACTCGATATACTCATTCACGACTCTTTTTCCTTTCCCAGCTCCTCTGAATGCAGACAGCTTCACATCAACAGGACAGAATGAGACCAGCATCACTCTGCAGTGGAATAAAGTGAACAACGACACCAGCTTTATTCTCCAGTTTAATGGCACAGAGATAAACATCAGTGCACCAGATGGAGATGGACCAGTAACTCACACAGTCTCATCTCTCACTGCTGGAACTAGATACACTTTCACTCTCTTGTCTGTGTTTGAGACCATCAGAAGCAGTGGAACAACCACTACTGCAGTCACTGGTGAGATATGTTCACTATTTTAATGTATTTTGAACTATGATTCACAACTATCTTTTGGTAATAAACAGCCAAAGGGAACATAGATTATTTCATAGGCAGTATTGTTTTTATAAATGCTTTCCAACCAACTTTAGGTACTAACAGGGAGATTGCTTATTTTTAGATGTAATATTTTTAAATAAATCCATTCACTTTTATTTTTCTCTCTCAGCTCCTCCAAACGCTGAAAGCTTGATATCAACAGGACAGAATGAGACCAGTATCACTCTGCAGTGGAATAAAGTGAACAACAACACCAGCTTTATTCTCCAGTTTAATGGCACAGAGATAAACATCAGTGCACCAGATGGAGATGGACCAGTAACTCACACAGTCTCATCTCTCACTGCTGGAACTAGATACACTTTCACTCTCTTGTCTGTGTTTGAGAACGTCAGAAGTAGTGGAACAACCACTACTGCAGTTACTGGTAAGATGTTTAACTTCATTACTGTGCAGTATAGAAATACAAACATACATGCGGTGGATATAGTATTCACTTGGTGATTCATCTACAGTCAAATTCGACTTGATATTTTATTCATTAACACAGTTTACTCAGACAACTCACGTTGGAAACGTTATTACAGCAGTATCGCATAGTTAGATTTTGGCGTCCAGGCTCCGACCTCATCACCCCCCACCGATATGTTTACATAGAGATATTGGGGAGTGATGAGTAAATACCTTGAACCCTTAGGCAGAGCCTCCAGGTGGATGCTGGGTTGGTGGTGGGGCTTACAGAGCTACAGGCAGCAATACTTATGCAGGGCAGCAGGCAGCATTGACAGAGCAGAGGGAGAGCTGGGAAATTGTGCAGTTTAAATAGACTGCCAGATTGGAAGGGTGCACTTGGATAATGATTATGGAGTGAGGCATGTCATGTGTGTATAGCAGCACATCTCGAGTTGACTGCCTGAACTAGCTTTCAGGCTTCGCTCCATTTATATCTATTATATAAAGTGTGATCCTTGGATTGACAAACACAAGTCTTTCAATATGAACGGCTGTTTCACTTTGTGTTCCTAATAGTTAGCGTTATTTTTCATGTGGGAATGCAAAACGGATCATATTAACAGCCAGAGGGAGTGACTCGATCAACTCATTCACGACTCTTTTTCCTTTCCCAGCTCCTCTGAATGCAGACAGCTTCATATCAACAGGACAGAATGAGACCAGTATCACTCTGCAGTGGAATAAAGTGAACAACAACACCAGCTTTATTCTCCAGTTTAATGGCACAGAGATAAACATCAGTGCACCAGATGGAGATGGACCAGTAACTCACACAGTCTCATTTCTCACTGCTGGAACTAGATACACATTCACTCTCTTCTCTGTCTTTGAGAACGTCAGAAGCAGTGGAACAACCACTACTGCAGTCACTGGTAAGATGTTTGACTTAATTTTTCTTCATTTAACTATGCATAACACTCTGTTAAGCATTACAGCGTACTAGACAATGAAATAGACATTTGAATGGCTCATTGTTTGTGTTTTTTTTAAACACATTAAATTAGCTTAGGTGCAACATCGTCATGGCCACTATCTATTGTATCTATTGACTGCAAGATAGCATTAACCAAATCAGTTTGCAGCAGCAATAGTTAGAACTGAACAGAGAGTTGGTGAAAGCTGCTTCATCTTCACCTTGAAACTTAGGAAGCTACTGAACAGTTAGTAGTTCTTACCAGCAGCAATAGTATTTATTTCCTTGTTACATATGATCTTTTTTCCCTTCCTCCTTCATGTCCTTAAGAACTGCCCTCTGTTTTTTGCCTTGTTCCTTGTTTTTTTCTGAGCACCATTCAAAGCCCTCTGCTTTCCTTGGTTTCATTTTTCCTTATCTTTGTTGTTTGAATCAAAATGTTTTCATTTGATTTTCAGTTTAAAAGTCATGCAACAAAAGTTTGAATTACATCTAAGAGAAATGTTCATATTAGATCTTTGAGATATTAACAAAATATAATTTCTTTTTAACATATTCTTCTTTCAATGTGAACAAACACCATCATGCCAAAACTGCTTACTCTGCGTCTCACAACAGGAGGGCCTCGTAAGTATATGCATTTATTAGATACAGTACATTTCATTGTCTGAGTCTTTGCCCAGGTAATACATGTATTTGCATCACTTTCATTGTTATTAACTCAATGTCACAAAATTATTTTTATTTTATGTATATGTATATATGTATATTATGAGCACTGACAGGTGAAATGAATAACACTGATCATCTGGTTATCATGGCTCCTGTCAGTGGGTGGGATATACAGTTCTAAAAGTTTTAGGCAGATGTGAAAAAATATAAATAATTATTGTTTAATTTTTATCAATTTACCAAATGCAAAGTGAGCGAACAAAAGAAAAATCTAAATCACATCAATATTTGGTGTTACTACCCTTTGCCTTCAAACCAGCATCAATTCTTATAGGTACACTTGCAAAAAGTCAGGGATTTTGTAGGATTGTAGTCAGGTGTATGATCAACCAATTATACCAAACAGGTGCTAATGCTCATCAATGTCACATGTAGGTTGAAACACAGTCATTAACTTAAACAGAAACAGCTGTGTAGGAGGCTTAAAACTGGGTGAGGAACAGCCAAACTCTGCTACCAAGGTGAGGTTGTGGAAGACAGTTTCATGTCACAGGTCATACACTATGGCAAGACTGAGCACAGATACAAGTCACAAGGTAGTTATACTGCATCAGCAAGGTCTCTCCCAGACAAATATTTCAAAGCAGACTGGTGATTCAAGATGTGCTGTTGAAGCTCTTTTGAAAAAGCACAAAGAAACGGGCAATGTTGAGGATCGTAGACGCAGCGGTCGGCCAAGGAAACTTCAGCAGATGAAAACACATCAAACTTATTTCCCTTCAAAATCGGAAGATGTCCAGCAGTGCCATCAGCTCTGAACTGGCAGAAACCAGTGGGACCCAGGTACACCAATCTACTGTCCGGAGAAGTCTGGCCAGAAGTGGTCTTCATGGAAGAGTTGCAGCCAAAAAGCCATACTGCCGACATGGAAACAAGGCCAAGCGACTCAACTATGCACGAAAACATAGGAACTGGGGTGCAGAAAAATGGCAGCAGGTGCTCTGGACTGATGAGTCAAAATTTGAAATATTTGGCTGTAGCAGAAGGCAGTTTGTTCGCCGAAGGGCTGGAGAACGGTACAATAATGAGTGTCTGCAGGCAACAGTGAAGCATGGTGGAGGTTCCTTGCAAGTTTGGGGCTGCATTTCTGCAAATGGAGTTGGAGATTTGGTCAGGATTAATGGTATCCTCAATGCTGAGAAATACAGGCAGATACTTATCCATCATGCAATACCATCAGGGAGGCGTATAATTGGCCCCAAATTTATTCTGCAGCAGGACAACGACCCCAAACATACAGGCAAGGTCATTAAGAACTATCTTCAGCGTAAGGAAGAACAAGAAGTCCTGGAAGTGATGGCATGGCCCCCACAGAGCCCCGATCTCAACATCATCGAGTGTGTCTGGGATTACATGACGAGACAGAAGGATTTGAGGAAGCCTACATCCACAAAAGATCTGTGGTTAATTCTCCAAGATGTTTGGAACAACCTACCAGCTGAGTTCCTTAAAAAACTGTGTGCAAGTGTACCTAGAAGAATTGATGCAAGGGGTGGTCACACCAAAAATTGATTTGATTTAGATTTCTCTTCTGTTCATTCACTGCATTTTGTTAATTGATGAATATAAACTATTAGCACTTCCATTTTTGAAAGCATTCTTAGTTTACAGCATTTTTTCATACCTGCCTAAAACTTTTGCACAATACTGTATTAGGCAGCAAGTGAACATTTTGTCCTCAAAGCTGATGTGTTAGAAGCAGGAAAAATGGGCAGCGTGAGGATTTGAGCAACTTTGACAAGGGACACATTGTGATGGCTAGATGATCATCTCCAAACCTGCAGCTCTTGTGGGGTGTTCCCGGTCTGCAGTGGTCAGTACCTCTGAAAGGTGCTCCAAGGAAAAGAACCGAAGACAGGGTCATGGCTTATTGACGCACTGCTACTGTAGCTCAAACCGCTGAAACAGTTAATGCTGGTTCTGATAGAAAGGTGTCAGAACACAGTGCATCACAGTTTGTTGGTATGGGGCCGCGTAGCCACAGACCAGTCATAATGTTATGGCTGATCGGTGTGGACATATACACACATATATATATATATATATATATATATATATATATATATATATATATATATATATATATATATAGTAATAATTAATAGTATAATATGATGCAAATACAGAAGTTATGGTTAATTATTTAATAATCTTTAATACTTATCTATTATCCATTTATAGTGTTATATCTATTATTTAATGTAACATATTGTGTATTTTTGTCAACAGATTATGTTGTTGGATTGAACTTCAGATTAAAGTCATTTATTCAGCTGTCAGACTCGGACATCCAGACTATGTTGGAGGAGGTGAGAATAACTGCCGTTTCAGTTCATTTCAATGCCATGACTGGTTTGTATTAAATTCAAATAATTACATTATCAAGTTAATGCTAAAAAAAAAATATTTGGTTTGTTTTTTTGTCTAGCTCTTCAGACAATACGGATTATCATCACAATTGTTATCCCTAAAGGTCATTCAGACATAAAACCAGTGGAGGAAAGATGGGAATAAATGAAGGACAATGGATCTGCAATGCAAAAACATTGCTTTTTTGTTATTTATTTGTTCTTAAGTTATTTAGACGTTTCACATTTTGAATTACTTTCCTTGAAGTGAATGGGGGAAAAAAATTATGTTGTGAGTGATTTTATAACGTTATAGTGTGAGCTTTTTGGAGAATTTTCTTAAAATAAGACATGACGTGTCCCAAATCCATACTGCACAGTTCCATACAGTATGCACTACATACTAATCATTATAATATACTGTAGTTACTATGCAAAGCAATTCAACATAGTATTATCATGTCATACTACTAGTAAATGATACAGTAATTGCACAAAAATGTAACTTTGGAATTCACTTCCAGTAAACCAAAAATTTCACTTTTTCTTTCTTTCCAAGCTCTCGTTTCGCCACCATTGACAATTTTTTTTCAAACATTTTTCACTTTGAGCACTTCGATTTCCTTTGTGCATTGCTTTGTGTCCATCGACAGCACACTCCAAAGATCAGCTGTATTTAGTGTGCATACTGTAGCTGTAACTATAGCAGGGATCATTCCCAAAACAAATATACCTTACTTATCTATTCTGTAATTCTCTCAAGGTTTTTGATTGTCAGTATTCAGATTTTATTGTTACAGTGTTGTAATAGTGTGTGTAAATATACCTAGTATGTTTCTGAACATGTGAAATAAAGATCTTTGGAATGTTATGTGACTGTGAATGATGAATGTGACTGAGCTTTATTCAAATATTCCCTCGTTGTTGCTCAGACCAATGCAAAACAATACAAATACAATACTATTATATAATACAATACAAAGGAACACAAACCCAGCAAGGCACCTGATCTAGACATTACTCCTCCCACCCGGGAATAACATGGTAGTTGAAAAAAGGAAAAAAATCCCAGAGGGAGTGGTAACAGCAAAACAGGGAGGACTTTGGCTCCACAACCACAGTGCCAGCATTTGCGTTTGCTACCCTCAGAGGTCACATTTCACATTCAGCAACAAGGTAAGCCCAAGACAAAATAACAGATGGCTAGGTATCAGCATTTGGATTAAACAGATAAAATAATTTCAATGATGTTTCTGCTTTGTCTTGTGCCAGGCAGGTAACCTGGAATGTAACAGGGACTCCTATTTGAAGTCATTAGGGTTTGCAGTGAATTATGGGAATGTGGTACATTTAAACACTTGCACTGACGATTTACACTGGGTGGGAACGGGCATGCATGTTTTGTGTTTGGATTTTAGTGGTTGTATTCATGTTTCAAGCTAAGCTTACAGTGAGTTTCTGCCAGTGAACGAGAGGCTGAGTCATGTGACCATGCATCTGGACTTTGAATTGTTTAAAAAACACCTTTCCTCTGTGACTCAGAATGTAAATCATTCATTTCTTATTTACAATCAGTTAACACTGATCCTTTGTCTTTATTTTTGAGGTCATGGCCACCCCCAGCATTCTCCTGTCAGAGGTGCAGTTTCAGTGTTGTATCTGTCAGGATGTTTTCTATGAGCCCGTCTCCATCCCCTGTGGTCACAGCTTCTGCTTCACCTGCATCACATCACACTGGAAAAACAGCCTCGCCATCAACTGTCCCAAATGTCAGACAGTGTTTGAGGGCCGCCCAGAGCTTTGTGAAAACTCTTTCGCCAAGGAAATGTCAGAGCAGATCCGAACGAGGAGGCAGAACGGCGTCATGTCATTGGCAGGAAAATCAATATATTGTGATGTGTGTGTGGGAACGCAAACAAAGGCCCTGAAGTCCTGCCTTGTGTGTCTGACCTCATATTGTGAGAGCCACCTGGAGCCACACCTGAGAGTTTCCACCTTGAAGATTCACAAGCTGATTGAACCTGTGGCATCGCTGGAGAACCGGATATGTAAAAGGCACCAAAGGCTCCTGGAGCTGTTCTGCCGGAGCGACCAGAGGTGTGTGTGTGTGATGTGCACTGAGACCGATCACCGCAATCACGACACCGTCCCAGTGGAGCGAGAGAGTCAGGAGAAGAAGGTGAGGTCCTAAACTCCTCATCATCATTCCATCCAACACATTGGCAGCCTTTGGACACTGATTCCAGTTTTAATTCCTATTCTGATGTTCAGGCTCAGATGAAGAAGATGGAGGCTGATGTTCAGATGATGATCCAGGACAAACTGCAGAAAGTGGAGGAGATCAAACACTCTGTGGAGCTTAGCAAAGTGAGTTGACATAACATCACAGTTCGCTGTTGGGAAACTGGGATCTTGCAGCTTACAGTCTATGTATAAGAATGTAAGAAATAGACTGAACAAATGCAGCTAACACTTTTCACACAAGAATGGTACATAGCAAAAACAAACGATTGGTACTACTACAGTAATAGTCCCAAAACATCTACAAAAACATGTTTGTATATCATTATTCTGCTTGGAATCTATTTGTATTTACTTATACTAGTACTGATATGAGGATCACTTGTTGTAAGTATTGCTACTATTAGTAATGCTTCTACTAATAGATCCCTTCCAGACATGTCTTAAGACAAATGAAAATATTATTCTGATAATAATTTGTGTATTTAGAAGAAAAAAAGTTCAATTATGTAGTTAAAAAGTTTCAAAATTACATCTACTCTTTCTTTCTCATAAAAAAAAATCCTAAATCTATGTTTTGTTATCCGATGTCTTCAGGAAAACTCAAAGAGACACATAGTGGAAAGCAGGGAAGTCTTCTCCGCTCTGTTTCGTGCAGTGGAGAAAAGTCAAGCAGAGCTGGTGGAGATGATCGAGAGGAAGCAAGCAGCAGCAGAGCAGAGGGCAAAGAGGCTTCTCACAGAGCTAGAGCTGGAAATCACTGAGCTGGAGAGGAAGAGGCGTGAGATGGAGCAGCTTTCTCACACTGAGGACAACCTCCATCTTCTGCAGGTCAGGAGTTGTCTCACAGTAAGATATTTGAAGTTTGATAGTGATATAGGTGCCAATGATGCCAAAGAACATTCTTATGAAGTAGGAATTTACAAACTTGTGTGCTTTGCTAGTGGGCTTTGCTAGTTAGTAGTTGGAGTTGTCTTTTATCTTAATTCCCACCCCATCCTCTTGTCTTCTCTACTTTAAAGCCATTTCTCTAATTTGACTTCTCTGTGTCAGAGGTTCCCAGCTTTGAGTTCTCCTCCATCTGCCAAAGCCTGCTGTGACATTATCGTCCATTCAGACACGTGTCTGGGGACTGTAAGGATAGCGGTGGCCAACATTGAACAACAGCTTCAATCAGCTTTGAAGAAGTTTTCCATGAAAGGTGAACTTCTAAAAAGATTTGTTGTTCGCATTTTGTGACAAAACAACTACTTACATTATGTTATGTTTTTTTTCATTTACAGAGCATGAGAAGATGCAGAAGTACGCAGGTACAGTTGAACTTAGACAGTAAAAATGTCAATAACAGTCTCTCTTTTGTGTTTGCTTATAAATTACTAAATTGATTGCATGCAACTCGACATTACCGGCATTTGTAACACTGAGACAAACTGTGATTTCATAACTTTTCATCCAGTATTTGGGACAGTATCTTTCTGGATGCCTCAACTAATGCAACTAAACCACAAATAACTAAGAATAATTTAGTCTCAGCAGAAAGAGGATAATGGAGTATGTTTGTCTACCAGTTGACGTTCATCTGGACCCCAGGACAGCCAACCCTTGGCTGGTTCTATCAGAGGATGGGAGACAGGTCTTTGATGGAGATGTTGAACAGGACCTGGTGGATATAGCAGAGCGTTTCGACACGGCACCATGTGTCCTCGCCACCAAGGTAAACAAAGATGTGGATTGTATGTGTTTATCTCTGTAGAGATGGCATGTATTTCTGTTTTACTTGCAATGAACAGCCCCAGTGACTTGAGCCTCTGTTGTTATGCAGGGTTTCACCACAGGGAGGCTCTACTGGGAGGTAGAGGTGGGAGACAAAACAGCGTGGGATTTAGGTGTGGCTGGACAGTCAGTCAACAGGAAGGGTGTGGTGACACTGAGTCCAGAGGACGGTTATTGGACAATTTGTTTGAGGAAGGGCAGTGAGTACCGGGCATGTGCAAGAGAGGCGGAGCTGCTGTGTCTCTCTCAGAGGCCACAGGTGGTTGGGGTGTTTTTGGATTACGAGGATGGGACGGTGTCCTTCTATGATGCAGAGGCCAAGTCACATATCTATTCCTTTACACAGTTCCAGTTCACTGAGGCCATGTTTCCCTTTTTTAACCCAGATATGAGTGACAGCGGCAGCAACAAATCACCACTTATCATCCGCCCTGTCAATGGAGGCAATGGAGTCGGGGATTTAGATGACATTACAATATGATGTATTTCTAGGGTCTGTTTTTAATGTCATGGCATAAAAATGGCAATATGACTTCAAACTAAATTAACAAACAATATGGTTTATGCTGCCAACAATTAATCTGGAAATCTGGAATGTTTTAATGAAAAAAATGCATATTGTACAATAAATACTTCATTAGTCACCTCAAACACTGTCTTATGAAATCTTTTTTATATTAAAGGGATTCATTATTTGTTGATTTATTAACAGCAACAACTGCTTTCACACATGGATCACACATTTCCTGTCTCGGACTTGCCCCCCCTCCCTCAATAATTTTCAGTGTGTTGTATTTGTTGTACATGCCTACCTCTTCTCCTCCTCCTCCTCCTCCTTTTTCCTCTTCACTCATGCTCTCTTAAACAGTAACACCTTGAGCACAGATCTTAGACCTGCCTCACTCCAACAGTATCTATCCTCAGTAATTACAGGCTAACCACAAAACTGACTTCAGACCACATCTTAGATCTACAACCTGACGGCTGCTAATCAGATTAGTGCAGAGATGGGATTATCCTTAGGGCAGATGGGGCACTGAGGGAGACTTCAAGATTGAGTCTCGGGAGGAGGTATTATGCACACAATCTGCACACTCACAGGTTAGCAACTGAATTAAATGTATGCATGCAGACACACAGTCTTTGCATGTACTCATTTAACACTTGTGAATTCCTGAAAGAATTTCAATGAGGAGACATGTCTGTAAAGAGAGAGCTAAAAGGGTTTGCGAAAGAAGGAAGGAGGAAGGGATGAAGAGGGATTAAAACTGATATCATCCAAGCACAAGGCGGAGACACACATATGTAGAGAGCCAGCAGATTGCACTGAACACCAGACTAAAGCAAGAACACTAAACATTTCTGTACCAGACCTGGCCAGCAGACTAGGGTAAGTCAAATATTTTGTTAATATAGTTTTCAGTGTTGGTGTCTGCTACTGTAGGAGGATATACGAGAATGCAAACCACTGTCCTAACAGTATGATTCCTTCCCAGCAACGTAGATCTCAAGTCAGCAAATAGTGAATGAATAATTCTTTTTTTTTTACCCTTATCCCTAATCCAAACCCCTAACCCTAACATTTAATCCTTAAAAATGTACAACGCAGCTAAAATTAGTCTCCAGGCTTCAGTAGATTATACACAATGTGAGTATTGAAGTAATTCACCATAATGGTAAAAACAAGGAAGGGAAAGATATTTTAGACTCTACAATTACTAATGTAAATGTAGCAGGTCACGGTCACAGGATTGAATTATAATTTTTGATTCCTCCATCTTGCTGTAGTCCTAAGAACCTTTATAACCTTATATTAATTATAATATATCAACCTGTTTCCTATATAACCACAGCTGTGGATATCTACTGTGTATGACATATGTTTGCTGTTATGACATTTCAAAGTCTGGAGCTTTCTGATTGGCTGAGTCTGAGTGGAGAGGTGTGATGTCGCCAGTGGTGGATGAGACAGCCGGGGATCTCCCAGTCAGAGACGTGGGAATGAGGGGGGGACTGATGCCAACTGTCCCAGGTTTGTGTGCATACGCCATTATCTGTTTCTACTTGTTCTTTAACAGTTCCATTAATTAACATCAGACATTTAGGTATTAAAATGAACTCCCACAAGATCATTGAATCTTTGGATTGTTCTTTCTTCAGGCTCTTAGTAGAATACTCACTGTCTGCATCTTAAACATTAAATGCCTTGAACTCATTTGGTGGTATAGACAGATTTATAATGCAAGTCCTTTAGGTGAGAACCCATATTTTCATCTGTTGTGTGATCATGTTTAATATGCTAACCCCCTTCATGTATATTTCCTGTGGAAAATGGGAAGGTTTAACATCATGATTTGTTGAATTTCACTCATTTTGTACACAAAACAACTAGAACTGGTGTTATTTTAATATCAGCCAACATTGATAGTGTGACAATGTTGGTATAGAGCCACAGAGCCGGTGAAATAATGGGACATCAATCATGTAAATATTATCAACATAAATCCAGTGAGCTGCAGTAGCTTTAAGTTAAGGTGTTTAGTTGTAAGAGTGCAGGTTAGCAGTTTAGGCAATGAAATGACTCAAAGGCCTTTGTGAATTCTGCAATAGAAGTGCATTTGTTTACATTTGTTTGTTTACAGATTCTCTACGTGATGTGAAGCCATGGAAGAAGCATCGTGTCATGAAGACAAAAGGTCAAACCACTTTACAAAACTCATCTCAACATTCAAACTCAAATATTCAGACCTCAATTCAATCAAAAGCACACAAAAGTAAATTTTCTCTCTCTCTCTCTCTCTCTCTCTCTCTCTCTCTATGTATCCGTCTGTTCCTCTCTTTAGTAGATCCTCAGCGCCTGTTTCGGTTTTCCAGAGAGCACCTGGAGGACCTATGTCTGAGACTGCAAGAGGAAAACAGCGTGCTAAGACAACACACACGTACACAGGAGCAGAGGCTACGCAGGTAACACACGTTAACACAGAAACACTGACACATACCCTAATGACTGTGTAACACCAGACAAATTGGGATCATCACAATGGCATATCTGTGAATAGCTGGGACAGTCATCCCTGTTGTTGGCCCAGGATGAGACTTAAAAACATATATGATAAGATAATTGCCCTATTATGGCTGATTTAACCTCCTTCTCCTTACCTCAGGATGTCCACCAGACTGATGCGTCTTCGTCAGGCCCGTCCTGGGTCTAGTGGAGTGAAGGAGAAGGACATGGAGGACACCATACAGGAGCTGGAAGCCCGTGTTGCTATGCTGGAGAGACAGAAAGGGGCGCTACAGAACAAACTCAGCCTGGCCAAGCAACACATTATGGACATTGGGGGGCGCACCCCATACAAGTTCAGTAAAGGTGTGTGTATATAGCACCTGAATAGAGGCCAGGGTGATTACTGCTTCCTCTTCCATCTTGGACATTCCTCCCTCTCGTCTTCTTCTTCTTCTTGTCAGGTAAAAGTATGGAAATGGAGGGTGGAGTCAGAAGGGCAGCCCAGACTGCCCCGCCCCGCTACGGCCCCATGTTGGAAGACACCAGGGCAGACATGGATAGACTGTAAGTGTCCCATGTAACACTGAGGAGAACAGAACAGAACTAAAGAATATTTGGAAAGTATTTGTCAATATGATACGTTCCTTTTTCCTAAACAGACACTGTCTCCTCAGGTATGTGAGTAAATATCTGCCTACAGGCAGATAGAATAGCTCTGTGGAGTGCAGTTCTTTTCATATTAGCTAAAACCTTAGTACTTGTGTCCAGTCCACTCTGGTAATAATTAAGCTATAGGATTTGTGCAGGAAATGAAGAATATGCATATACATGAACATATACATATACTACCCTTCCTGATCAGATAGTGTGTACAATTATTATCAAGAAAATAAATCATGTTAGGAAACTGTATGTGTATTTGTTCTGTTTCTATGTCCGTTTTTTCTGCCTTTACCTCCATTCCTTATTCTGTTAAACAAATTTGTCCTGTTTCTATCCTCTGATCATATCATCGTTTAACCTCCGTTTTACTAAGTGACTCTTTATTTCCTCTCAATCCCACTCTTACTCCCAAACCCCCTTCATCACTCCACCCTCACCTCCCTCTACCCCTCTGCATCCCTCCCTCTCAACAGGTCAAGTGTGACAGAGCAGGTGAGGGTTGCAGAGCTGGAGCTGACCGCCCAGACGCTCCGAGACACGCTGAGAGACAAGGAGAAAGAGATCGAGGGAACTGTGAAAGAGATCAGGAAGCAACAGGCTGACAGACACAGGTTACCACTAATGTTACTAATACTTATATGATGGCCACTCCTGCAGTTGGTGACAAGAGGCATTGCGTTTTCTGTGTGTAGTATATTTTCTGTAAATACATTTTTATTTGAATACATTTCAGTGTACTTTGCTTCAGTACTGCTACTAAGTAGATTTTTAAACCTGCATTTACACAATAAGTAAAATATATTTGAAATAGCTAATTTCTGTACAAGGTGGTCATTATAGCACTCTTTCCATCACAACCATGTCAATAAAAATAATTAATGTTAATAATTATGTTTATCTTTCTGACAGAATAACTATAAGAGAGAATGTGGATCTGATCCGTCTACAAAAGCAGCTTTCAGAGAAGAGCACTGCCCTGAGAGTCACCCAGGAGAAGTTTAACAACCTGCAAGAGGTTACATGACCTTATGTGTCTATAAATCATTAATTTCTTCTTCTGTTATTTTATAACTTGACATCATCTTATTAATTCAGGTTCAGTTACACTTTTATCTGTTCACTTAAAAGTTAAATATTTCCCTTCTGTCTTCCTTCCCTCCTTTCAGGCATATGAGAATCAGCTGGAGGAGGTAAACACCCTGTTATGCAAAAAGTGTAATGAATACTTCAAACAAGTAGTCTGATATTTATTCAGACATTAATCAGTAATCATATTAATTTTGATTGTGTTATGTCACCTCCTAGAGTCAGAGGTCGCTGAGGGAAAGCCAGGGAGCTCTGCTGAGGAAAGTGGAGGAGCTGAGCGAGCAGCTGAAGCAGGAGAGACAGAGAGCTCTGGCACTGGAGGGGGAACTTACCGCCTCTACTCTGTCTCTCCAGACCCTGGACAAGGTATCGCATCTATATCTGCATTTATAAGTCCAGACTAAGAAGGGATCAAGTAAAGTTTTTTTAAAAGATTTCATTCTTCTTCTTCTTTCAGCTACAGGAGAGGATATCCGATCTGGAGGGTGAACGGGATCTAATAAAAGAAAACTATGACACTTTACTAGAGAAGTAAGAGTTAAAGTCTTCTAGACCATGCAAAACAATCTCTAGGATCTTATGGAGCACCTTCGCCAAGAGACTTGGCAGATGCAAGTTGCCAGAGCAACAAAACACAGCATTTTGTGTTTCACCTTGTATGTTTACATATTTTCTTTCCTAGTACTTTATCTGGGCAAAGCAACCCTGATGGCCGGGTGGACAAACACATAGAAGTGGACCTGAGGAGGGAGAAACCGGAAGAAAACATCAGCAGGACGGACATCCAGAGACTGGAGGAGAGGCTGCAAGCCGAGAGAGAAGAGAGAGGCCGGCTGGAGCTGGCGAAGGAGAAACTGAGACGAGAGAAGGAGACATTAGAGGAGCAGACAGAGCG